CCCCCACCTGTGTACTTGTCCCCAACAGTCGTCATGAGCTCTTTCAGCCGCTCCTTCGACACGAACCCATTGCCTGCACTCATCCGTCCATTCACACACACGTGTCAATTCCACCCAGGATTCGTTCATTCATCTCTTTGCTGCCTGCCGACGGTCACCGTCTTTGTCGAGGACTTGGAAAGCGTGTACGAGTTTCTCATATTCTGCGGTGTTTTCCTCCTTCTTGGCCACCAGCGACAGGAAGTCGTCCAGGTTGATCCCGCCCCTCACATGGACGTCGTACTCTGCAGAGATGGCATCAGCAACACACACACGCGCAGGCAGGCAGGCAGGCAGACAGGCAGACAGACAGGGACGGGAAAACCGTTCTTCCTTTCGTCAAGTGAGTGCGTGTGTGTCTCGCACATGCCTGTACTCGCCTTGTATGACTTCGTCGAGCTCTTCGTCCGCCAGATCATGACTGCAGGTGGCCAGACAGCCATAGCATTACACCATACAGTGAGTGACATCAGTCGGTGTGTGCACACAACGTTGACACACATGCATACAGATGCTCGCTCAACAGACGTACTGACTGTACCCGAGCGATCTCATGGCCACGGCAATTTGGTATGCGGTGAGCATCCCGGTGCTGCCCCTGTCCAGCAGCTTGAACGCCTCCACACTCTGCTTCTGCAATGAATGAGCGACCTCTGTGTGCGTCATTGCTGTGTGCATGTGTGTTCTTTACCTGGACTATCTCAGACAGTCCAGCAGCGGCCGCTGAAGCCATGGTGACCTCCGCAGCTGCGATAGCTGCCCCCAGGCCCCCAGTCTCATTTTCCCGAGCTCGCACCTTCTGGGGAGAAAATACAGGTGCAGCCTGCGATTCACAGCCGTCAGCATGCTCATGCTTATCAGGGGAGCCGCCGCATCTGCCAAATTAGTTCCGTAGCGAGTGGATTCGGTGACTGATCACCTCGGCGGCAGTGAGGAGGATGTTTCCCTTGCAGCCAGATCAGCAGGAGGGCGGCGCGCAGGCGGGGTCGCTGCCGATGGACAAGAAGGTGGTGACGGTGTACATTCCCGAGGGCCAGGGGCGGGAGCTGCAGCTCTACTGCATCACTGCATACGACGCAGGTACGACACAGAAGAGAGGAACATAGAACACACACGCAGGACGGGGCGGGCCGGGGAGTCGCGTGTTTGGTGATGCATGTGCTTGTGCGGCCATCGCGTGGACAGAAATTCATTCACTGTATGTGTGTATGTGTGATCTGATCAGAGGAGTGGCTGGCGTGCGATGTGGGCGCCTGTTTCCTGTACGTTGACGAGAAGATCTGCAAGACCCACCGCGGCGACCTGCCATCACTACCGGTGCCATCGCTGCTGACCCCCTCCTCCCTCTCGTCCCTCACCCACACGAGCGAGCCCTCCCGTCGGTACTCGCTGCCCTTCGCCTACCAGAAGCGGCCCCTCTACCCGCTGCGGCTGTGCGTCAAGTACCACAAGAGCGCCATCCACTACAAGATCCTCTCCATCCCGCTCACGTCCGTGGTGCCCACCCTGCCGCTGTCGGGGTCGGATGACCGCCAGGCCTGGCGGCTGGTGGCCGATGGCCGCACGGGGCAGGCGCTTGTCAAGATCCTCGACTTCCTGCCCACTGTACAGGTGCGTCGCGTCGCGTATGTGTGCGAAGCGAAGCAGTGGGTGGATGGATGCACGTCTGTGCTGTGCCTGTGGTTGGTGTGTGTCAGAGGTGGCTGTCGGCGTTGGTCCGTGCGCCCCATTTTCTGGACTGTGCGTTCCGCGGCGTCAATGTGGCGGAGGAGGTCAAGAAGCGGGAGCTGGTCATACTGCCCTTCAAGTGCGGCTTCCTCATGAGCAGAGCACACCACAGACACGAGCGACCCGCCAGGGCGGCCGACAAGACCACGGCCACCACCGTCAACGCACGCGACGAGAGAGGAGGCGAGGCCGCCAAGCACACCACAACAACTACTCGTCCCGGTTGGCTGTCCCCGTCTGCGTCGAGTCGTTTTCGCTCCCTCTCGCCGCGCATTTCCCGCTCCTTGACGTCGATAGGCCGGTCATTGCGGACGACCTTCCAGCGACATGAGTCGCGTGAGGGTCAGGAGGACTTCTCGGAGCTGATCGCCCACCGCCGTCTGCTGTCTGAGGTGTACGTTGCCGTGCTGTTCGACATCGACCGGTGTCTGGTCAAGGACAACTACCAGCACAACCTCAACAGATGGGACTTTGAGCGGGTAGGGGGAGGGGGCAGAGCACATGGGTTCATGTTTTGTGTGTGTATGTGTGTGTTATGTGTGTGTTATGTGTGTGCGCGGCCGCACTGCAGCTGCTTCGGCGTTTCCTGGGCATGAGTGTGTGTGCGGAGAACGAGACGGAGGATGTGTTCGCCACCACGCTGCCAAGACTGCCCAACTCTCATACTGTAAGAACGGACGGCACCAAGACATCCATACATCCATCCATCCATCCATCCACACACACGTCTGTCTGTCTGTCTGTCTGTCTGTCCATCTCTTCTCACCTCCAGCAGGGGGGCGATGTGGCCAGCAGCGGTGACGAGGGAGTCCTGTCGGCGAGCTTACATCGTCAGCTGAGCACCAAGACCGTCCCAGCCGCCCCCGGCAGCCCCCTCACCCTGTCAGTGGGCCCCTCCCAGCCGCCCCACTTCCTCGCAGCCACACTGCACGACCTCAGGCAGGAGGCCCCCGTCAACCTCAAGCTCCAGGCCCTCGCCGCCCTCATTGTCCAAGTGAGACGGCTGCAGGCAGCGGAGAGGCAAGACGGTGGGGCAGGTGCATCCGACACGCCCAACACCAGCACCACCACGATGCTGGAGCGCAAGCACCTGGACATCGTGCCGACCTTCGTGCTGCCCATCCTCTGCGGCGAGGCCAACAAGACGCCGTCAGAGATGGGGTCCTCATCGGTGACTCCACGCCACCCCCCACTGTCTGCGCGAGAGCCGCGGCCGTCCCTGCCGAGTCAGCTGCTGTCGCGGAGGAAGGACAGGGGCCGGCGCACACCGCTGAGTGCGCGGCAGGCGCCTTCGCGGTCCATAAGCGACAAGAGGGGTGCTGGCGTGTGGGATCAGGAGCCGGAGAGCGGTCGATGTGAGCATGGTCATGGTGCTCAAGGGGAGGGGGAGGAAGAGGACGAGGGCGGTTTGTCGGTCGCTTTGCTGTTGGGGGCCTTCCTGCTGGCGGAGCTGTGCGACTGGCGGCCGCATGAGAAACCTGCGTAAGCGGCCAAGGAATGGGCAACGTGCGAGTGATATATGTGGCATATAGGGAGTGTGCTGCTGCGTGTGTGTGTGTGTGTGTGTATATACGGCTTTCTTTGCAGGACGATATGGCGTTTATGTCACGCGCATCTGGTGCAGCACCGGCACTGTGAGGGCCTCCTCAACGCCCTCACTATCATGATTGGGTAAGGGAGGGAACACACACGATAAGATACACCACAGCATTCCAACATTCTTTCCCAATGGCGTGCGCTCTCTATCTCTCCCTCCCTCCCTCTCTTCAGTCACAGCCGCACATTTGCCGAGTACATCGCCTTCGAGCCCGACGCCGTGCGGTTCCTGTGGTCTGAGCTCGTCACTGTCACCGACCGGATCGACAGGGCCAGGAGGGACGCCAAACGGGGACTCTTCGCACAGCAGTGAGACAGACGACACACACGAGACGCACGCAATGTGCGCCTAGTGCTCTGCAAGCAAAGCGCGTCGCTGTGTGGGTGCTGTGGGTGCAGGTCTCCACGCAAGTCGTCCCCGTCAGTGCAGTCGTCAGCGCGCACCTTCTCCCTCTCAGCCCGACCGCCCGCCGCCTCACAGCAGCAGCCAAACGCCCCCACCCAGCTGCCGCCACAGCCGTCCCTCTCGGTTCCCTCCGCTGCATTGCCACACGCCTCCAGCGCCCCACATGTTGTCGATAGTAGCTACACTGAGGACACACACCCCCAGCACCAGCAGCTGCAGCAGCGTACGGCTGAGTATGAGGGCTGGGAGGGAGAGGAGCTCAGGACGGCACGGACGGAGAGAACTGTCGATGAAGACGACGAGGAGGCAGAGGTGGAGGTGGAGGACGAGGAGCATGAGACGGCCTCTCCCATTCATCCCGACGCACCCAGGCGGCTGCCCGTGCAGATTCCGAGACTCAACCTCAGCGCGTCGCACTCGATCGAGGGCGAATCGGCCGAAGCGTCACCGGGCGTCCACTCGTCGCCCTTCTCGCACCTTTCTCCCACAGCCCCTCCTTTGTCGGCCCATCAGTACCCAACCAACATAGCGGGCCACATCACGCGACACCCCCCACTGTCGCGGCCCAGCCGGCGACTGCTTGAGGGGCTGCAGACAAGTTGCGGGTCTGCGTCGGCCACCAGTGGCGGCCGCTCTGACAGACGGCGATGGCTGCAGAGCTCCGGGGCTCACCCACACCCATCAGAGGGCATGATGGGGATTGGGGAGCTGCCCCCTCCGCCACCCGAGACAAGCATGTCGGCGCGTGACTATGCGGGTGAGAAGGGCGGGTCTCCTGGGACCGATGAGGAGATGCCGCTCCACGGCCGTCAGCAGAGCGCCCGCACGTTCAGCGGCCAGGACACTCTCAGGTCGGCCTATCACGAGCGTATAAGTGTGACCAAGGAGGTTGACTACGTCGCCACTCTACTTGGCCAGGCCACCCTCTTAGCTGACCTCAGTGGCGTCTCCACCATACAGCAAGAGGCGCAGCTGCAGCAGCACTTCCATGCGAGGCGGACCAAGCAGGGTGGCCTGCTCTCACCTAACGACCCCCTAGTCCCCGCCAGCCCTCCGCCCACAGGGGGTCCACCGGGTGACGGCAATGGCCTGCTTAAGGAGCTGGAGGACATCCGACGAGACACGGCCGCAGCGATCGCACTCACTGGGCGGACGAGGTACGAATCGGCCTTCACCAACTCACCACCATGGCCAGCGCCCCCTCCCCAGCCGCCACCACCCCAGGCCAGTGAGGGTGACTCAGCCGAGGGGCCGAGGGTGGGGTTGGACGTGCCCCCTCTGTCCGAGCGCAAGCCCATCCCCAGCGCGTTCTCTTCGCCCGCCCTCCCACGGCTGGCACTGCCGTTTGCCTCACCCAGGCCGCCGGACACCCGCACAGGCAACATGTCTGCGAGAGGTCTGCCCAGCCCGGCGTGCTCGCCTCGTGTGGTGCCTGAGATGAAGGAGGGCGTGCTGCTCGTCACGGCGATACGCGTGAGGGAGGCCGTGGCGGTGTCGCTGTGCCTCGTGTGCAGCATCTACCGGCAGACGATTGAAGCAGGCATCAAGCAGGGCAAGGAGAGGGAGAGGGAGGGGGAGCGGTCGGCTGCCCTGCTGCACGTGGATGGGTGCTTCGGGGAGGCGCTGGATATGACCAAGGTCATGGGGGTGCTCGTGAGCTCCTGCGACATGGCGGGATACTCGTACGGCGGCCTGGTCGACATCCTCGACGCACAGGCGGTATCACACCGAGTGCAGACCATCGTGAGCCCCCACCGGACCGACAGAGGATCGCCGATTGAGGAGCTCGGCGCGTGTCTGTCACGCAAGGAGGGCGACATGGATGTGGAGGCCATCATCCGGTCGATGCGGGACATCATCACGATGATGGAGACCGTCCCCTCACCTTCGATGCAGCGGTGCGCCTGCGCGTGCTCTTTGATGGCCTCCATCGCGCCCCCGACCGTACGGCAATCGTCGGCCGACGACCCGCCCCCGGCCGCAGCCCCGCCCGTGGCACAGGTGTGCACTTGCCTCAACCTCCTCACGGCCGACGCCATCATGCAGATCGCAGCGGTGCACACCTACTGGGTGGCCAGCAGGTGGTCGGTGACTCCAAGACCACCCCTGCCGTGGCGGCCGTCTCAACAGCATCACCAGCCATCGAGCCAAGTGCAGGCCACGGCGTTGCTGCGAAATGGAACCAGTACTGGTGGTCCACCACCACCACCACCTCCCGCTGATGTGGCGGTGTTCAGCCGCATCGCCGGCCCCTGTGGCCCTCTGGTCGACCCTTCATCTAGACGGCCCATCGAAGCACCATCCCCCCTGCTGCCCAACAAGGCGTCACAGAAGCGGCAGCCCGTCAAGAGCCCGGCCAAGCGGCCCGTATCAGACCCACCCGCCTCGCCTGTACCGCAGCCCTCTGAGTTCCTCCTCCGCTGTGCCGTCCACCACTGCGACGCGGTGCTGAGCCACCTGCGTGTGCACCTGACGAGCAGTGAGCCCAACACCCCCCTGTCAGCCCTCTCCACCGGCCGTGCCCCAATCGCCAGCCCCACAGCCGTGACGCACCAGGGCGGGGAGTCGCCGGCAGCTGGGCACCGCCAGCCGTACGGCCCCTTCTCGCCCAGAAGGATTCTCTCGTCCCGTCAACAGGAAGACCCCCACCGCGAGCAGCCGCGTGACAACGGCGGGAGTGCCAGCCGCCGCCCATTCGTGCCACCACTGCCACTGCAGACCCACAACCACTCATCCAGCCGAGTGCAGGACATGCAGTTGCACCGGCAGTCGTCGCCCCCCGTCAGCTGGTCAGACCGTTCCTCGCCCACCATCGTCGGGCAGGAGGGGGGCAGCCCCTTCCCCCTCCCGCATGATGACGTGGGTGAGGAGAGGGAGGGCGGACACAGCGCGAGGAAGGTCGGCTTCTTCTCTGGCCGGCGGAAAGGGCGGCAGAGCGGCGAGAGGTACCGTGTGGGTGCCGCTGGGGGCAAGGATCGGGAGGGCGAGGCGTCCCCCTCCGCCACCACGCATCTGCCGCTGTCGTCTCGGCTGGCTCAGGCGAGCCCCAGAGGTGCGGCCTCCTTCATCGCCGGCCGCATCGCCCCCCAGATGCTGCGGGATGGCGCACAGGAGGCGCTCACTTACGCAGAGGGGATGGACGACATCTGCCGCCGTGCGCTGCACCTGATCGGCCTGGAGCTGTCCATCCCTGAGGATGCCTTTGTGTCGACGCTGTGGAGGTGCCTCACGGCGAGCGAGAAGGAGGAAGTGCTGCAGGGGCGGCTGGTGGCCGCGCTGCACCTGGTGCACATGTGTCTGCTCACGATGCCCGCCAACGCCGGCACCGGCACACACGAGGGGGAGGAGGCGTTCCACAGTGTGCGGCTGACACTCGTGGATGTCAAGGGCTACCTCACCGACCTCTGGAGGGCGCCAGTCTCACTTCAGCGGTCCCTGCTCTCCCTGCGGCTGTGGGGCGCCTTCTGCATGACCTTCACGGCCCTCCTGTCGCTCGCTGACAACAGCCCCCAGATGCAGTACACCCTCGTCCACTCCATTATGATCGACAGATGTGACACGGGCGGCATCACCCGTCGCTTGCCGAGAGAGAGAGGGGAGATGACGGAGCGCACCTCGTCTGCCGCAGAGGACGGCAGCCCTTCGCCGCTCGAGAGCCCATCTGGGAGGGAGCAGACGGAGGAACTGAGTGGTGCCGTTGGTGGTGGAGGTACTGTCGGCGGGGGCAAGCTGGTGGTGCGTAAGGGCGGGCTGCCTGAGGGACCTCACCGGCTGCACAGCAACGGCAGTACGGCGCAGACCGAGCTAGAGGCCTACCTCCCCCTGCCTCTCTCGCAGCAGGTGCGGCGGCCGAGCGTGATGGAGTGCCTCGCCGACGTGGGCAGAGCTCTCTACGGCGAGGCAGAGAGAGAGGCCCACGGTGATACTGAAGACAATGCCGCCAGCCTCGACTCACTCAGGTCGGCCTTCCTGTCCTTCACCCGCTCCCTCCTCCAGTGCAGCCACCGGGCCCTGCTGACCTTCCCCTCCCACTATTTCTCCACCCAGCCCTCCAGCCGCCTCTCACGGCGATGGCAGGCGATGGATGGGCCGCCCACCAGCCGAGTCACCACCAAACAGACCCCAGCCACAACAGTAGCTCCACCACCCACAGCAGCAGAGACCAGCCGCGCATCGCCGCGTTTATCGATGCGGCTGTTCTCGCCCAGGGGCGCGGGGAAGTGGCAGAGGGCGGCAGGGGGAAGCGATGTCAATATGGAGCAGACGGGCAAGGGAGGAGTGAGGAAGCCGGTTGGCGTCTCCCACAACAAGGGCGCCCTGTTCGGTCCGCTGCCCGCTGAGCTGCCGCGACTCAATCGCCTCAAGGCCACACGAAAGTCAGTCAGCCCTCACACAGACAGGCAGACAGACAGACATGCGAGGAAGCCAAGCCACACATATATACGTATCTGTCGTGTATGGTATGTGTACGGCGATCGGTCATCAGGTTGGTGGAGTGGTCGTCAAGGTACCTGCAGTGGCTGGACTTCCTCTTCAACACCAACACGGGGCTCATCACAGCCATACAAGACACACCTAACATCAGCGGCAAGGTGACGCGGGAGCTGCTTCTCGCGGAGACCGCCCTCTTCCGCATCCCCAGTGCCCTCAACCGGTTCCTTGCTGAGCCACACGTCGGCCGCTACATCAGGTGGCATTTTGTCGACTTCATGGCACTTTACTCAAGCACACCAGAAGAGGTATCTTCCATTAGAGGGTGGGGGCGGGGTTGAGTGGATGGATGGATGGATGTCCGTCTGTTGTCTATGTGTGTGTGTGTCAGTGGGATGAATGTCGTCGCGACAAGTGTGTGGCTCATCTGGAGGTGCTGTTCGCCATCAGCTGCAACAAGACCGAGCCAGCCTCAGAGTGGTGACCATTCACACCACACATATACCAGCCACACACACACAGCCACACCCACACACACGCAACTGACTGTTGACATCTATTGCCTCTCCCCCTGCGTGTCGTGTCTGTCAGGTTCTACCGATTGCGTATGGTGGAGTTCCTCTTGTCGCAGATGGACTTCGAGCAAGACATCGACGCAAGCCACCACAGGCACGGCACGCAACCTTTTGACACACACACACACACACACACATGCACACACACACATAGGATGAGGCGCATCCAGATCCATCCGACTTTTCCCTTCCTGTCTGTCAGGTACTCGGACAACCTACCCACCATGCGGCCATCCCGCGGAGGCCTAGGCCTGTCCGCCACACAGCCGGCCCCGCTGATGCTCTCCGGCCAGCAGAGCGCCCTCACTGCGCAGCCCCTGGCTGCCACCCTCCCACCATTACAAGGAGGGGTCAAGCTGCAGCTGCCGCCCACACTGAAGCCGCCACCTCCCCTCCCACCACCACCACTACCAGCAGCAACAGCAGCACCGATTGCTGACGAGAGCAGAGAGGAGGGCAGAAGTGGCGGGGGCGATGGTGGCGACTCGTCGGACGAGAGCAGCAGCTATGACGGAGAGGAGGGGCCGCCAGTGGCACCGAAGCCGCCCCCGGTGCGTGTGCTGCCAAAGCTGAGGTTGGGGGGGCTGCCCGGACCCACCTATGAGGTAGGTGCATTCTCACATGGATGGTGCGGTGCATGCGAACGTCCATCAAGACACCTACATGGCATGGATGTGTCCACAACTGCACTCCAGGCCGTTCCTGGCGACTCGGTGGCTGAGGTCATTCAGATCCGCAACGCCGCCATCCAGATGGAGGCCAAGAGCTCCGAACAGCCGCAACCATCGTCAGCCGCTCCCAAGCCCGCCCACACACACGACAGCAGCAGCAGCAGTGATGAAGACAGAGAAAGAGGCGCCAGGAGGTATGACGGCTCTCATCATGACCATGACAGCGACAGCAGCAGCGACTGGGAGGGCCCCCCTCCGCCCGTGTGGCAGGTCCCTGCGAGCAGGAAGCCCCCTCTGTTCAAGCTGAATTTGGGCCACCTGCCTGGTCCCATTTACGAGGGCGATGGTGCGCACCAGCACCACACCAACAACCCCATCTACTCGCCCAATCCGGCCATGTCAGCAGCATTGTCAGCGTCGGCATCTCCCCAGCTCCCCCCACCTGTGGTGGCAGAGCCCCCATCGCCCTTCACACCCCTGCTCCCGACAGACACATACGCCATATCAGCACCACCACCACCAGCAGCAGCACCAGCACCAGCACCAGCGGCACCACACCCGCCCCCGTTGGTGAGCCCATCCGCTGCCGATAGTGCGATGGCAAAGGGCGAGGGGGAGGACATCCAAGACGAGTACCTGGAGAACGAGGTCTACTTCAAGGGCCGGGAGTACCGGCGGCTGTACAGCGACCCCGAGATCCACTCCCTCATGCTGGGCTGCCTGCTCACCCTCCTCCTCACCGACAAGCGCGGCCTGCTGGACGAGAGATACTGCGCGCAGTTCCCCCTGACCCAGAACAAGGAGAACGCACCCTTCGTGCTGCAGCGGCACCTCAACCACGAGGCGAACGAGTCCGTGGTGCTCCAGCTGCTCTGGACGGTGGCTGCCGGCCGCACAGCCCTCGCATTCGAGGTCTTCCGGTTATTCAAGCTGCTCTTCAGCAAGGGCACACAGCGGTGGCGGGGGTTGTTCGACTGCTGGGAGAGGCTTGGCTCAGGGGCCTTCGGGCAGGTGTACCGCTGCACCACGCCCTTCGAGGCCGCCCCCATGGTCGCCGTCAAGCAGATCAGCGTCCCTGTCGGCATACAGGACCAGTGCACCCTGTTCAGTGTCTTCCACGAGGTGGCGTGTCTCGACGAGTTCCGGCTCGCCGCCGCCCACGTGTGCGAGATATTCGACTACGGCCTGGAGCTCAGCGACACGTCTGCGGCCTCCCCCGACCCACCACCAGGCCCTTACCAGCCCGAGTGCACCAGCCCGTCGGGCCCGCACCCATCGCCTCCGCCCCTGCATTACGTCATTATCATGCGCTTCTACCCGAGCACCCTCAAGAAATGGCGCAACCGACTGGTGCAGGGGCAGGGAGAGAGGGAGAGCGAGAGGGCAGGGGAGGATGCGGAGCGGGACAGGGTGCCCCTGGAGCACCTGCCGACGCTGCTGGCCATCTTCGGGCAGATCCTGACGGCGATTGGGCAGCTGCACGCCCGGGGTGTGGTGCATTACGACCTCAAGTGCGACAACATCATGGTCGACACGGGAGCGGACCGACAGGTGTACATATTGCTCGACGGGCCCAGTGCGACCGGGCCACACACGCAGGGAGGTGATGATGGCCAGCAACAGGGGGAGGACGTCTACCTCGCTGTGCCAATGGTCGCCCTCGCCGATTTCGGTAAGTAATCGTATCACACGCTACGCTGCGCTGCCCAGACGAACGGTTGTGTCGTCATTCCCCTGCCTGCGTCTGTCTGTGTATGTTTGTCTGTGTGGGATCAGGGGAGTCGCGTATCATGGCCGACGAGGCGGACAGCTACTGCATCCAGAACAGGGGCACCGAGTTCATCAAGTCGCCCGAGATGATCCTCATCCACCAGCTGAGCAAGAAGGAGGGCGTCGCGTACGATCGAAGACGCAAGGTCGGCTCCAGCCTGCCCTCCGACGTCTGGTCGCTCGGCTGCCTCCTGTTTGAGCTACTCACGGGGCGGTTCCTCTTCGAGGAGGACTTTGCGTACTTCTTCGTGAGGATCACCAAGGAGGAGGGGCCACTAGACCTTATCTCGCCTGAGAACCAGCAGGTCTGTGTGGGGGGTGGGGAGGGCCGGAAGCCTGTGTGGGTGCTGTGCTCTGCAATTCAATATGGGTCGTGTGTTCGTGTGTGTGTTGGGTGTGACAGCGTCTGCGCAGCAACCCCGACCTGCTTCAGTTCCTGCGGTTCATGCTGGTCCGCGACCCCAACAAGCGCCCCTCCGTCGAGATGATCCTCCACCGATTTGAGAAGGTCTTCGCCCGCGCTCTGCTGCTCTACGCCGACCCATCCACAGCCAAAGCCACGCAGCTGCGGCTGCCCTCCCTCGCGGACTCGCTGCACGCCCACATACACGCCCAGCCGTCGCCATTCACAACTCCGCTGTCGATCAACGACGCTGGTGGGCGGCAGGGCAGCCATCTGTCCATGCTGTCGGGATCGGCCGGAGACAGCCCCATGGCTGCAAGGAGGGAGGGCATGCAGGAGCTGTCACGTCTGCCGCACCCGCCACTGGTGCAGATTCTCGAAGACCTCTTCTGGTGGGCGCCCACACAGTCCAACCAGCAGCAGCAGCAGCAGCAGTGGGACGCTGGCGAACTTGACGAGGCGGCGGTTGAGTGGGTCGATCTGGCGAGGCGGGGCGTGCAGTCCACTCACCTGGTGGACTTCCGGGCCAAGGACGCGGCGCCACTGCGCGGGCTGCCCCTGACTGTGGACGTGCTGCGTCTCAATGAGGACACCGTCCCCCGCCCACCCGAGGAGCAGGAGCGATCGGGCGGATCGTCATCATCGAGCAGGGACGCGCATTTCCTGATCCGGTGCATGCCCGTGCTGGCGGACTTTCTGCGCGCGGCGTCGGTGCAGGGTGGGACGGTGGTGGTGCTGGATGAGGAGAACGCCCAGGCAAGGCGTGTATCGTCAGGGTCGGCCATGAGTGGGGGTGGGGGCGGTCTGCCATCCGTCACGCAGCCGCCGCTGGTGTCGTGTCCGCCGCGCCGATTCCCCGGGCTGCTGGCGTTGCTGGGCCTGTTGATGGGAGGCTTCGAGTTGGATGCCTTCAGGGCAACATGCCTCCTCAACTCACAGGTGGGTGGGGTAGGGTAGGGTGGGGTGGGGTGCGGTGGGGTGGGCGGCACTACCCCCCATTACTCTCTGGTCTGCTCGTTCTCTGTCAGGTGCCGCTGCCAGCTCTTCACCCCAGGCAGGTGCACACGTTGATCGCACTGGACCGTCTGATACAGAGGAGGCGCGTCGAGGCCCGCAGAAGGGCCAAGGAGAGGGCGCCTGCCGGCGGCAAGACCTGCCTCGTTGCGTGCTACTGCGGCGCGTGCACGTTCCGGGTCAGCAGGGAGGCCCTTATGCGGGCGGCCAGGAGGGACCAGCCATTGGAGTCGTCACCATACCATCGCATGAGCGACAGCGTGGAGCTGCTGAGCTGCGCATGTTCACCGTCGCCCCCGTCTCCCCCATCCACAGCGTGTCCGAACGCGGGCAGCTGTCAGAGCTTCGTGGAGTGGTTTGAGGAGCAGTACGGGCAGGACATGCAGTCACTGCACTGGCTCATCGCTCTTCCCCCCTCCATCCCGGTCACTCAGCAATGGAGGCCGCCGGTATGGGCTGACGGGCTGCCATTCATGTCAAGGGGAGTCGACCACAATGCAGAGGCCATCGAGAGCGACGAGCCGATCTCTTCCCTCACCCCCACCCCCACCCCAGCCCCCCCTGCACACCCCCAGCCCGCTGCTGTCTCGCCCCGCATTAGGGCGGCCTCGTTCTTCCCCGCCACCCAGACGCCTCGAGACCAGGGCAGCCCCCGTATGGTCGCACCGTGCTCACCCCCCGTTGCGTGGCGTCGCTACCAGTGTCGCATATGCGGTTGGCTGACACACGCCGTCCGCGTGAGGCGACACATGCCACAGCAGTCGTACAACACTGGCAGTGGCAGTGGTGGGGGCGAGGGGGTCGCAGTGGTCGTGTCGTATGACCAGCTGGCAAGAGAGGGGCATGACAGCGGTGGGGGCGGGGGTTTGGCGGCATCGCAGCCCTTGTTGCTCGAGGCCAGCGGTGAGACATCGCAGCGGACAGTGAAGGTGCTGCAGGGGGGAGGGGCGATGGGTGGTGAGCACCTCGGGAAGCAGAAGGGTGTGTCTGCGCAGCACCACCCCGCCATCGACTCCGTCCGGTTCGGTGGCGTGCGGCCGATTCTGAGGCACTACTCGATGGCGGACCTGCTGTCCGTGAGCGAGGGGGGCTCGGAAGAGGCCGGCGTAGCTGCTGCCGTGATGGCTACCTAGACGCCTAATTGCTTGGTTAATGGTGCTTGATGGACAATATAATTGGTCCCATCTTGATTGATTCGTTGGACCATTTGGGTGCGGTGCGGTGGGGTGGGTGGGCATTTTGTGTGCGCGTCGGCTGTGTGTGGTGTGGTGTGATGTGATGCGTACACGCGACCTGTGTGCGTGCGTGTAGTAGAGTGTATTTGTCTACCGATCGATCGATCCAACGCGCTCGCCATGGCCATCAGAGAATGGCATGGCATGGCGTCCTGCATAAACTCATTCAGCAAACGGGCAGTAAGAGGTCACTGTAGGCAGCACAAGAAGGAGAGCAAGGGAAGACGACCTCACACGCACACACACACACACACAACACGCGTGGGCGTCTCGTCTCAACATACCACCTGTGTCATGTACCCTCACGAGGGAGAGGGAGAGGGAGGCACAGCGGCAGAAAAAGCCGCTCGCAACAATCGCAACCACGCACACAACACAGGCAGACACCTCACCTAGCAGCAGCCGCCATCCATCCACACTGGCGACAAAAAAGTCACTTTGTTGAAACCAGGACAAAACCAATACAGACAGGCAGGGGATGGAAGAGGCAGACAGACAGACAGACAGGCAGACACACGCCCCAGCCACCATCAGCTGGCTGTCTTGCTGTGCGGGCTGTGGTGTGGTGTGGGGTGCGTGCAAGGCGGTGAACAACGGGGGGGAGGGGTGTGTGGTGTGAGTGTGGATCCGATCCATGCATGCAATGCATCGTGTGGCTGGCTGGCTGGCTGTACAAACTCCGGCTGACCTGACCTGACCGGAGTCGCTTCTCTCTCACACTCATCATCATCATCGTCATCCATCGGTCCATGCTGCCAACCACCTGTCTGTCGCCTCACCTGACGCCACTCCTTTGCGCTGGGACGGCTGGCTGACCGGCCTAGCCCAGCACAAAAGAGTCACGCCAAGAGACTCACAAGTAAGGTGTGTAGCGATGGCCGAGCGATGGTCACTCGACACACAGTCCAGGCATGGTATGGCATGGTAGCTTTGCACCTATCGAGTCATCCCATCATCAATCACGCCCCCCTTTAAACCACACACCCACCCCACCCAACGAGGGAGGCTCGCTGCGTCAGAGGGGCACCCACCGGGCTCAGAAAAAACCGCCAAAACCACCGACACCGTCCATACTGCGAGGCACAGCCACAGACACACACACAGGGGAAGACAGGCAGGCAGGCGTCAAGGGCGTTCATGTGTTGGCCAGTCGGGTGACGTTCGCTCTCTTCATCTTGGCTCACCCCATCAGGTGTGTCATCGTGTCCTGCATCTGCACGTTGATGCGACCAAACTCGGGGTCCTGACGTCAGGCAGGCAGACACATTACATAAACCACAGTCAGTACTGGTTGATCGACGACCTCCCTCCCTTGCGTTGAGAGCTCCCCCTCCCCTCACAGGCAGACAGACATACCACGGCGAGTTGCGCGTGGTTGAGCAGGACGGCGCCCTCTATGTCCTCTGAGGTGAGGTTGAACTTCTCCTCCACCTTGGCGCCCACCAGCGCCTGGGCCGCAATCGTCACCGTCCTCATGTCGTACGACGACTTGTTGCCCAACTTCTGATGGAAGCGATGCACGGCACCGACACATCCATCCATCCATCCCATCACACACATGGGTGGGGTCGGGGGGCTGTGTGGGTGGGTGGGGGTGTGAGTGTGGGGTGCTCACTTGGAACTGTTCGACGATTGATCTGAGTTCCTGGAGCATAAACTGGTGGACCTTGATGATGACGTCCTTCTGCAGACTGTGCGCCTTCTGGCTGATCGGACCGCTCGTCCCCGCCGGCCCCCCCGCACCCATAATCTGGGCTATCGACTCACGAACCGCTGAACAACACACAACACAACACAACACAACACAACATTCCACAGGCAACCGATTTCTGACATTCATCGACAAGTTCGTGTGTGGGTGTGTGTGGGGGTGTTGACCTGGGTCGTTTTGGTATCTGTCAAGGAGCTGGTCGAAGTCGGTCATGCTCAGACCGTACCTGACGTGAAACGGCGGGCATCACAAACACTTCTCTCGTCCATTAGCTTGCTGACCTCTCGAGAGGGTCTGATGGCTGCACGTTCTTGACACGCTGATAGGCCTCCTCAAAACTGGTCAAGACCCACAGCACAGCAGAAGAACCCACATGAGGACGGCCGGTGAGAAAGGGGCCCATCATAGCTAGTGCGAGAGCGGTCCCTCCCTTACGCGACGTTGGCCTTGACCATGCTGGTGGTGAGTTCCTTCATGATGCCCTTCATCTTCTCCTGCGACTTGAGGATCTCATTCAAGATCTCCACCACCTGGCCCTTCGTAGCCTAAACACACAAACACACAAACACACGCACACACGCATTCTCATAAAACACACAGCGCGCAGCGCAGCGCAGCGCATGCATGGCCACAATAATGACTGACACACAGGAGCCTCCCCCTAACTACGTCTGTGCTGTGCCCCAGACCGCACCGCCACCGCACCGACCGTGTCGACAGTGAGTTTCTTCTCGGGGTCTTTGGCCTCCTTCTCCGCCACCTCCTCCTTGTCGTCCTTCAACAGATACCAAACAAGACCGCCCACCGCTGCCGCCGCACCTGCACACCACACATCACGCACCACACGACACACACATCAGCAATGCATTGTGCAGGCCTGTCTCGACGCGCCTCGTCGCTGCTCACCCCCCGCGATGAGAAGATGGTATGCCTTCAGCCCGCCTGTGGATGACATGCTGGCTGACGGCGCGTGAGATGTCCTCGCAGAGCGGCGATGCGATTTGGAGATGCGCAGAACTCACAGCTCCTCTTCACAGGCTGCGTGAGGCGCAAATGCTCGTCGGAATGAGAAGACGGGAACACCAGTGCGAGCTTGGGGGGTTTCCCGCTAAGCTCGCAACGGAAAAGGGGAAAAGAAAAGGAGAACGGCGGAAAAGAGCATTTCTTCTTTGCAAAGCGGCGAGATGGAAGCTATCATGGAGCATCCCGAGGAGCTGCATCCCGGCGATAACCCCCCGCCCGACGAGTGGTGGCTGCCTCCGTGCTGGCCGGAGTACCAGGCCTGGATTGCCATGCGCAGGCCGTCCGAGGAGGGGCAGAAGATAACCGACGCCGGCCGAGTGGATGTCAGCAAAATGAACTACTTCAAGGTGAGGGAGACGGCACCTACCTGCACTGACAGATCTTTTATCCATCTGTCTGATGGTTTGGCTTGGTGGCTGTTCGTCCACAGAAAGACTGCCAGATGACCTTGAAGGCTATGCAAACGAGAGTCGAGCACCTTAAAGTGAGTGAGGGACAAAACGTGTGGGCCTTCCCTCACTGCAGATCTGCACACACGTGGGTGTGTCTGCCCTGCTCTCCCCTTCAGAAAGTCGACGCCAAGATCCAGCAGGAGATAGCCCAGAACAGAGAAAAACTCCGGCAGATAGAGGTTGCTCGTGAGAGAAATCGGCTGAAGGTCGTGCAACACCAGTGGCGGAAGGAGTGCCAGTTCCTCGAGCAGGACAAGAAGCGACAGAGGGCCGCCGCACGCACATACGAGAACCAGCAGGCCATTGAGGTACGCACATACGCACACACACAGACACAGAGACAGATTGATCAGCCAGCCGAACCCCTGCGCCTCTCTCTCTCTCTCTCTCTCTCTGTGTGTGTGTGTGTGTGTGTGTGTGTAGGAGGCACGTCACCGTGTCAATCTGCTGCGGGCGCTTGAGGCCGATCGGCTGCGGAAAGAGCACCATGGTCGTGTGGGGACGATGCAAGACAAAAGATACAGCACCTATGTGCAGCGGGTGGCCAGGGTGGAAAAAGCAAAGGAAGTAGCCAAGGAAACCAAACGGATCACCATGCTCAAGAGGGTGAGACGAGACACGATGTAGAGACAGGTGGACGCTCTCATGTGGCGGTTGCCTCACATCAGGATACTGAGGTGGCCGAGCGAATGGCATCCAACGCTGTCAAGTGTCACGAAGTCGAACACCAAGTGGAGTAAGCAGACCAACCCCCCATAACACACCCACGCACCCACACAGAGAGAGAGCCACATCCATCCATCCATGTCTGTCTGTCTGTCTGCCTGTCTCTGTGCGTATGTATCCCTCCCTCCCTGCAGGGCCGCCCGTCTGAGGGTCATGAAGGCTGAGAAGATGGAAGAGATATGGATGTTGAGACTTCGGGTGAGTTCACCCTGCACTGCACACTAAGTAGCCGGCCTTCCATATCCTCTCTCTCTGTCTCTGTGTATGGCAGCAATCCCAAATGTACGAAGAGCAGACGGCGCAAGAACTCAGCGAGGTCCAAAAGGCCCGAATGGACCGGCCTCGATATCCTCGCCACACCAAACCGCCCGTGCCCAGACAAGGGACCAACCTCAAAACAAGTGTGTGTGCGTGGGGGAGAAAGGAGACACCACATGGTCTGCCTGATTCCCATTCCTCTAATGCAGGCGCGAAGCCTCCTTCTGCCAGGCTTGTTCCTGGCACATCAGCGGCAGGCCCTTCGCCGCGCCGTCACCAGGGTCGGCTCGAGAGCCAGGGGAAATGACCGACACATAATCTGGTGGTGTGTGTTCAGTTGTGCAGCCGAGTCCCCGTCAGCCACGTGAGCCGTACACCATGACGGATGAGCAGATCCTGGATGCACTGACGCTGGAGCAACTCACTGAGATATCGGAGGAGCACCAGGCGAGGCTCGCCGCCATCCAGGAAGCTGCAAGCAGAAAGAGGGTGAGCAGAAGCCGCGAAAGGGCTGCCACGCCACATGGTCGATTCATCATCACTGTCGCCACGTGTTGCCAGGAGCAGGTTGACGGTCGTGTTGCCGACAGTCGTGTTGCTGAGGGTGTGTATGGGGAGTGGGAGGACCTGCAGCAGCACATCGGGAGCCGTAAGCAGATATACACAATCAACAAGGGCATCCGAAACCTCATGCCTCCCTCCCTCCCTCCCTCGTTACTTTGTTTGCAGCAGAATCTGATGGGCTGCACTTTGGTGAAGGTGACCCTCATGCCGACAACCGTTTCACGCAGGTAAGAGGAGAAGATCGACAAGCAGTGGCACTGATATCAATGTCTCTCTGTTCTGTGAATCTCCTTGACAGGCGGAAACGGTGGAACAAAGAGGAGGGGGGATTGAGACACTGGACCAGTCAGCGACGCAGACCAACGGGCAGGCCCCTTCGGTGAGCTGCTGTGACCAAAAGCCATCCATCGCCGGGCGGTCGACACCTCTGCGCTTACGTGTGTATGTGCCCATGCAGCCACGGCGTGACAGAGAGGCACATACGAGGGGCAAGAGAGCGGTGGGGCCGCAGCCCCTGTCGGTGAGGGCGCGGGAGGCACAGCCATCGTCAAGAAGGGTACGTCCTGGCCAGCAAGCCGCAGCCCATGTACGGCCATCCTGAAGGTGACCTCTCTATTGTCTCTCTCTCTCTCTCTGGATTGGATGCAGATGGATCAGCGTCGCGTCGTGTCCCGCGGCGGTCGTGGTGCGAGTCGAGCAAGTGCCGCTGCCTACCAGAGAGGCGGACGCCTCTACTGATTTGGCAGGCACAGAGCAAAGGAATGGATAATTACGAAGATGGAACAGAATCTGATGCAACGCCTGGCTGGTGTACCTTGGTGAGAACTGTCGGTCGACGCGAGGGCAGCGCTCTGCATGACGTGTGCAGCGGATGTGTGTGTGTCTTGCACGATATGCGAAAGGACGGCTTCGTGCGCGGACAGACGCGCTTAATCTCTCAACCCTTCGCTCTCTCTCTCTCTCTCTCTCTGCGCCGTTTGCGGTCGAGTGTTCAATGCTGCTGGGTTCGATGCGTGTGTGGGTGTGGCGGCGTGAGGGGTGTATGTGTGTGTGTCAAGTCCGTCTGTGCTCCATCCTCCATAATCCATCCATCCATCCATATGTGCGTGAACGTCAGTCAGTCAGTCCATCAACACGTGTCCATCGTGATTCACACCAGAGCCATCCATCCATCCATCCATTGTGCACCGCATAGTCTCTCCATCCAACTACACCGTCGCTGACCATGCATCCAGAAGAGACGACAGGGCTGGGCATGGTTCTTCCTTTTTGCTTGGTGTGTGTACAAATGCTCGGTCGAAAGCCACGTGAGTGCACTCATGAATGGACGCACCGAGACATTAGAGACATCCAATTATCGTCCTCCCTGGGCTTGTGTCTCAGCCCGATGGGTGGCTGTCCCCTTCAACGTCGTCATGAAAATATGAAACATGGAAATATAAAATGTAGGCAGAGATTCCCCACCCATCTTCCTCGCTGCCCTTACGCATCAACACAGACAGCACACCAGACAGACTTCACCATACATATGTGCGTGAACGTCAGTCAGTCAGTCCATCAACACGTGTCCATCGTGATTCACACCAGAGCCATCAGTGAGCCATCCATCCATCCATCCATTGTGCACCGCATAGGCTTTCCATCCAACAACACCGCCAGCGAAGAAACCAACCGACGACGAAAGCAAAAGACGACAAACATCATGCATCCAGAAGAGACGAGATGGCTGGGCTGGCGGGCCTGCCAGTGGTTCGTCTGGAAGGAATGATACGGACGCTTTGCTATCGAATCTCACGCTCACTCAACTAGCTACGAATCTCAGATGGTGTGCTTAGCGAGACGGTGGACAACGGGCTAGAGAGCGAGAGGGGTGGCCATCCACCAGCCATCCAGTGAGGCATGCAGCCACGGGAAAACAACAAACGCCATCGACAGAGAGTGGAGGGGGTCACCAAGAGAGGGCTGGGCGGGGCTGGTTTGTGCGTGGAATGAATCACACGGGACTGAGTGCGTGATTGACTGAGTGGGTGACGGACGGAAGACTGACTGACTGACAGGCCACGAGGGAGGGCATACCACCACCACCACTACGGCTCCCATCATATCACCCGCGCACCCCAGGCAGGCAGCACACCAGACAGACAAACCGCTGCTGTCTGTGTTCGATGCGTGTGAGGGTGTGTGGGTGTGCGAACGGTTGAGACAGAGGGGGGAAGTCCGTGCGCAGTAGAGACTAGAGGGGGTCATCAAGAGAGGGCTGAGCTGGGCTGGTTTGTGCGTGGACTGAATCACACGGGGAGGGAGGGAGTGATTGACTGATTGAGTGACGGACGACTAACTGGCTGGCTGGCCACGAGGGAGGGGGGGCAGGGGATGGCAAAAGCAACCAAGAAAAACAACTGAGCGACACAACACACCCAGCCACACAACAACACCAACAACAACAACAATAACACGGCCGCACATCGACGGAGTGGTTGGTATTTGCCGTACTGCACCATTCGGGTCGAGCTGCACATACCAGGACCCTGCACACAGGCACAGACCCATCCATCTAAGCATCGCCCAGCCCATGTGTCCATCCATCGCCCGGCTTACACTGTCAGGCCGTCCTGTGTGCGCGTGGTGCCCAAGTGGCGGCGTGGTGGCCGTGGCCCGACAGGCTGGCTGGGGAGGGCTGCTGGTGTTGCTGCATTCATCCACACGCACCACACCATCAATGAGCCATCCATCCATTTGCGTGTGTCATCCCACTTGTGTGTCCTTATTCGCAGTCGGAAGTCGTGTACGTGGCGCGGAGTCCCGTGGCGATGCGGACCCTCACGCCTCGAGAACTCTGCATGTGCATGAGGGCGTGATGGAGCTGAAGGTCCGGTGGTGATGCTGTGCAGGACGAAATCGTGCGCTGTAGAAAATGGAAAAAATAACGCGCGTCTCGGCCGTCTCTTTTCTCGACGTCAACTTCAAGGCGACTTGCGCTCACTCATCCGTTGCGTGCAGCGTCATGGAGATGAACGGCTGGCGCAGTGTTTGCTTTCAGTGGCAACCGCGAGCTCCCTCAGGCTGGTGATCCCCCGAGTGGAAACCCACTGCACACGGGCACACGAATGGCCAACTAAAGAAGGACCTGCCACGGTCTCTTGGCCAGTCTTTTGGTTTGGTGCGCTGGTGCTGAATGGCAGGCAAGGAGCGAGGGCGTCTCACGTGCGTACGCGTCATGTTAGCCCACCAAACCATTTTACACGTCCGTGTCAGCCGGCACCCAGCCATGCACCACCCGCTGACACATCCCGCCTACACATCAACGAACGCAGCCTCGCCCGTCCTCACATACACGCTCAAACGCAGCCAGCCGTCCGTTAATTCGCACGTCTGTACAACACACGATCGGCACACACGCAGAGCCGCCATTCACACACAGAGGCACGCACGAAACAGCACTACACGCGCACACAGCCGCTCTGGGGCGCACACACACGGAGTGGAAGAAAGGCAGACAGCCAGCCAGGCAGGTGCGTGCGTGTGAGAGAGAGAGGGCAAACGAATTGCGGAGCACGGATCCACGGGGAGAGAGAACGTGGCCACACACTCCGAGGACAGCCAGGCAGCAGTGGGTCTACTCACAAACAAAACACACGACATTAGATGGCCCTATCAATTGGCTAAATGGCCTGCCATCAAAGGAAAGCACATTACATATAGACTGAGAGAGAGCACAAATATTGAGCATGGGCAGCGATGAACAGCCTCACATGTGCACACCATCCACTCACCGCTCACCCGCACGGGGAGCGGTCAGTCGAGCCGTTGTCTGTCTGTCTGTCTTGTCGGTCAGTCCGTCCGTCCACTGACACACATCCCAGGCCGCACGCACCACCCCTCCCCCTCCCAGCACTGGTTGTCCCATCACTGCCCCGGTCCCCAAGCTCACTCAGAGAGCGGCCAAAGGTCAGAGCGGCAATGGGGCAACTAGTGCTGGCAGAGGTGGTGTGGTGTGCGGGTGCCAAACAAAAAATATCACCGCCCCCCGGCCATCTGGCCATTCCATCCATTCCGTGCTCACTCACTCACTCATCTGACTCCAACCATGCCCAACCATCGTCAACGAACACACTGTTCACAGCCAGCCAGCCGTCCATCCATCCATCCGTCCATGCAGCTGCAGCTAGGCAGGCAGATGTCTTTTGTGTCTTTCCTCTCTTTCGGTCGGGACATCGGCCTCTGTCTGTCCCTCCATGACCACAGCCACCAAGAACGATCGAAGGCACATTCTTGCACGAGCTGGCAGTCGGCCGTCAAGGAGCGCAGGCCGCGTGTGCTCATCAACAAAACAGACTAGGTTTGGGACAGGTGAGTGAGGGAGTGAGTCGTCGCGTGATCTGATCAAGCCATCGATCGAAGTCTTTCCTTCCTTGCTTGCTTGCTCACCCACAACACACAGGCAGCACCGGCCATACATCACATCACTCCCGTGCTATATATGCACACAACAGACAGACAGACAGCATGCCATGCCATGCTATGCCAGGCACCCCACCCCCTCCCGTCGAAGCCAAGGCAGGTAGGTAGGCACACAGACAGACAGACAGACTAGGTAGGCTACTGAGGTCCGATGCGCTGCAGGCGGCCGCCAACGCGCTCCCACTTCCTCTCGTATTCCCTCCTCGCCCTTCGCCGCCGTCCACCTGCTGCTGCAGCGCCAGCTCCTCCAGCTGCCGCCGCCGCTGCCGCACCGCTGGGTGGGGGCTGCTGGTGCTGGTTGTGGTCCTGCTTGCGCTTCTTGCGCGCGCCGAGGTGCTCTGTGTCTGACTCGGTGTCGTCCTCGGGCGCACCCCTGCAACAAATCCCACACACACACACACACACACAATCCATCAGGTGCTTGGCCGTGAATGTGGGCGTGTGTGTATATGTGTGTGTGTGTCTCTATGCCGGCGTACCGCTTGCGGCTGCCGCCCACGTTGGCATGAACATCCTGCATCACCTCGTCGTCACCATGGCCAGCAGCAGCAGCCGCAGCAGCTCATGAGGCCTTGGGTGGCACCACACGAGCCAAGCCTGCGGAGAAGGGACACAGTTGTGTCGGGTTTCCTCAGTCACTCCACTCACTTACCGTCGTCAACCTCCATATGGTCATCGGCGTAGCGGTGCAGCGATTCCCTCAAGAAGCCATGTGAGCGGCCGGGTGGCTTGAAGACCTTGCCGGCCAACTCATCCTGTGTGCCAAACTCCTCGTCCGTATTGGTCAACAACGTGCCCACACGACGGCCGCGTGGGGCCGGGGGCGGGAGGAGTGGGGGAGGCACTGACAGACAGACAGACAGACAGACAGCCAACCGCGTCGGCAGATGAGGGGTATGTCGGTGTGACCGATAGGTGTGTGCGTATCTGCTTACTCTGGTCATTCTCCTCATCCATCTCGTCCATCTTCGACAACAACTTCATGGGCCTTCCGCCACGAGGGGGCGGGGGCGGACCACGGGCAAGGGCACCCCTGCAACAAATCACACACACACACAATCCATCAGGTGCTTGGCTGTGACTGTGGGCGTGTGTGTATACGTGTGTGTGTGTCTCTATGCCGACGTACCGCTTGCGGCTGCCGCCCACGTTGGCATGAACATCCTGCATCACCTCGTCGTCACCATGGCCAGCAGCAGCAGCCGCAGCAGCTCCTGAGGCCTTGGGTGGCACCACACGAGCCAAGCCTGCGGAGAAGGGACACAGTTGTGTCGGGTTTCCTCAGTCACTCCACTCACTTACCGTCGTCAACCTCCATATGGTCATCGGCGTAGCGGTGCAACGATTCCCTCAAGAAGCCATGTGAGCGGCCGGGTGGCTTGAAGACCTTGCCGGCCAACTCATCCTGTGTGCCAGACTCCTCGTCCGTATCGGTCAACAACGTGCCCACACGACGGCCGCGTGGGGCCGGGGGCGGGAGGAGTGGGGGAGGCACTGACAGACAGACAGACAGCCAACCGCGTCGGCAGATGAGGGGTATGTCGGTGTGACCGATAGGTGTGTGCGTATCTGCTTACTCTGGTCATTCTCCTCATCCATCTCGTCCACCTTCGACAACAACTTCATGGGCCTTCCGCCACGAGGGGGCGGGGGCGGACCACGGGCAAAGGCGGCACCTGACGGAGGAGGACACACAGAGCAGGGTGAGGAGGAAACACACTATGAGTGCCTGCCTGCCTGCACACGCACCTTCAGCAGCCATCGTAGAGCACCACTGTCTGCCCGCCTCAGTGAGGCCGACGTTCGGCGCGATAGATCGGTACTCGCGGACCTGCACCAGGCAGGCAGGCAGCAGCCACGCAGAGAATGAGGCAGCATATGTGTGCATGTGTGCAGCGATCCGATCCACACCTCGGCGTATGCCGTGTCGAACAAACTCCTGCCCTTCCCATGGTCCACAGCAGCGGCACCGCGGCGGCAGCGGCACTGGCGGACCCTCCTCGGTTATGTGTGTATGTGTCCTTCTTCAACGCGGCCAACACACAGGAAGCGATGCAGCCAGTCCGGGAGACGCCTGTGTGGGCAGCAAACAGACACGCAGACAAGGACACATGTATGTGTGCGTGGGGCGGTGTGTGCATCTGACTGGTCGGCTGGCTGTTAGTTGGTGCAGCCAGTGGATGGGCTCTCACTGACTCAAGTGACTCACTCACGCACTCACCGGCGCGGCAGTGGATCAGCAGGGTGGTCTCCGGATCCTCGAGAGCTTTCAGGCAGAAGTCTATGGCTGCGACTCCAGCTGTCGCGAAATTGTGCACCCCGTCGTCACTGCCGTCCTGCATACACACGGAGAGAATGAGATATCGACTGCCCGTCCTTCTGCGTGTGTGTGTGTGTGTGTGGTGTTTGTCCGCCCACCTTCATATTTTTGACGTCGTAGAAGGTCACCTCCGGCAGGTCGTTGCCCTTGGAGGCGCATGTGTACTCGCCCCCCGCCGTGTCGCCCGCCGCCAAGTTGCACACATGGGTGACCTTGGCCGTCTTGAGGAACTGACCGATGGACAGGCAAACAAAGCAATGTGTCACCACAGATGCCGATATCGCCCTCAGCACACAAGGGTACGTGAATTACTTACCTTTGTGTCGTGTGCGGCCTCCCTGCTCCCTATCAGCAGCTTCCCCTTGGCCTCGCCCAAATCGTAGATACGAACGGACGTCCTCCTAAACAGCAGACACACACAGAGAAGGATGATTTGCATGGTCGCCTCGTCTGCAGCCCTCCCCATTGCTAGCGCATCGCACGTACTCCTGGTGGTATTCGAATATGGTGTTAGTGAGCGGGTCTGTGCGGTCCATTCTGTGGGTGCGGTTGCCCTTGGGCGACGGGCGGTTGGCTGGCGCAGAATGCATACGACAGACACAGGGAGGGAACGGACAGAATTCCCTCACGTCGTCCCCTCGCTCACCCACTGATTCCCTCCCTCCCTCCGTCACCTGCTCCGGCGTCCAGCTCCGCCTCGGTGTCGATGCTCAGCAGCCGCAGTTTCCTCATGCTCAGCACCGGCTGCCACACCTACCAGCAAAAATCAAGGCAACGCGGTCGCATGCATGGCGAATGCGATGCAGCGCACTCATGCATGCCGCAAATGGCGTGTGGCGGCGGCCACTTACGTACCGCTGGCAATGCGGTCCCGAAGTATATGTCGCTCTTGGTCAGTTGTTGCTCGCGAAGCCGACGCAGCTCACCACGACTGATGCTGGCGCTGACTGGCTGCGTACATAAGACGGCGCCGTCTTTCGCGCTCCTGCTGTTTTAGGGCTGGCGTGCTGGCGTGAAACGAACTTTTTGGCTTGCGAGCTTAGAAGGCCGATCTGTGAACCCTTTGCTCACGAAATATGTCAATGCTTCCCGCTGCCGAGTGCCCGGACCCGCCTCCCGAGGCGCCCCGCCTGAACTTTCTGCCCTCTGATCGCTCCCAAGTATGCCTTGCCCCTCACAGCCCTTTTCATCAAGAGACCAGATCCACCCGAAGCGACACTCTGTCAGACATGTCCGCCCGGCTGCACCTTATCCCCCCCGCTACATCTGCGAACGGGGGAACTTCCAGCACCGAGTCAGCCACTTCCCTGACGCGCCGGGCACGACAGCTGGCGCCAGACTGCCCGCGCACGGACCAGGACAGCGACTCGCCCGTCTCCATTTCGTCGTCTTTGCCCGTTTCCCCATCCTTTATGGCGCGGGAGAAGGACGGCTGGGGTCAGTGGTCCATCACCAAGTGGCTGTACTATTGGGGGGAGTTGTTTCTTGATCTGCGAGAGCGTGGTCCGCACCAGCAGTGAAGGTCTCAGTCGCCGGTCAGCGAAGATCTGCCGAGAAGACGACTACCGGCGGCAGCAATGGGCCAGGCCAAGGGAGAAGATCCGATGGACCACACGGCTTGCCAGCTGACAACTTGCCTGACAAATACTCAAGTGAGGACACGTAAGCATCATACAAACAAGCTGATCCGATCCCTGTTTGTGTTAATTGTTGTGCAGGCTGTGGTTTTGGCGCTTGGTGCTGACGCTGACGCCATTGGCTGGGTGATCTTATGTGATATACTGCGTCATACTGGGCGGCATGCCTCTCATCTACATGGGCATGTGCCTGGGCAGCCCTCACGGCACACTGACCCACCTGCTGATTGAGTCAGTGAAGTGAGGGACAGACTAGACAAGGCACACAAACACACCAGCGAGCCGAGGAGGAACGAATGATCACATGTGTGTGGCTGTGTGTGATTTTGGGCTGGCTGCAGGTGTGTCCAGTCCTTTGCCTTTCTTGTCTTGTCTGTGCTGTCGATGACGTCGAGCAAGTTCTACCTGATAGCTGGCTATGTGTGTCACGGTGTGTGGGATGCACTGCACCACGGTGCCGTCAAGACGCCCTGCCCGCGGTGGTACATCCCTCTGTGTCTCGTTTATGACTGGGCTGTGGCTCTCGCACTGGTCGTCGTCAACCCGGCCAACTGAGTGGTGTGTGTGTATACAATACGCGCTTGTGTGGATGCGTGGTGCGCGGATAGTGACTTCGATCGGCATGTGTACAGCAGCGTGAATGTGTGTACATGGACACATCATGTATACGTACATCCTGCCAATCATTGAGCACCGGTCACGATGCCGACCAATGCTGACGACCGTGCGTCACGCTCACACACAGAGTCACTGACCCACGTCATCTATCATTCATTGCCATGTCTCTCAATGTTGGCAGCTGTTTGTGAGTCAAGCGACGACTCGGAGGCAGCCGAGAGGCAGCGGTGACTGCAAAGAAGCGCAAGGCCACCATCACTGAGAAGACTGCCCACGCCCCGCCACTGGCCCCGCTGCGGAAGAGCGGTGGTCGAAGCAACAGCGGCTCGAGGGGGATGAGGGCTAGCAGGAGTGAACTGTATGGCTTTACATGTGTACATTCCGTGATTCATACGCTGCTGCAGACCCTCAGGCTACCTGTACGCCTCATTCAAGCAACCGTGTCTCACGATTGCTCTCCCGCCCATCCGTAAGGAGAGGCTCATCTACGTGGGCGAGTGACTTTGGTGGGGTCAGTCCGTGTGTTTGGTGAATGGAGAGACCGACGATTTGACACTCTGTGTGTTTATGTATTGTGCAAAATTCAATCATGTCTTTGCTGTGCAAAGCGCGTGAAAAAAGGTCATTGACCATACACACATGTCATGTAGGCCGGGCCGGGCTGGCATGTATCAGAACATCTGACACATCCAGCCAGACAAAGCCGTACGGTAGGGCAATCTATACACTGTCGCCGTCATGTCAGTCACGCAAGCTCTTTGGGCCACGGCTTGTGTGCATAAGTATTGAAAATCACTCTGTTGCTGCTGCTGCTGTTCCTGCGTCAGCGGCCGGCACGTATCGCCATAAGTGGACCATCCCATCATCACCTGCACACAGAGATGCACACATCCACACACACATCCAGCCGTCCATGTGGGTGTGATCGATGTGCTGCGCACCTCCTGTCGCCAGAAGCAGACTCCCATCCTCTGCTCCACACACACACACACACACACACACACAGATACGCCTGCCCGTTTCCTTCCGCACTTGTGTGCGGTGCCCTCCTCCCCAACCCCCCACCCTCTCTGTGTGGCCTCCACATGACCGTGTTGACGTCGGTTCCATGGGCATCGGGCTGAGAGTAACCACCAGCACATGGAAGTGCATTCTCCTCATCTGTCTGTTTGTGTGTCTGATTTGTCTGACTGACCCACCTTCCTTACCTGCATGCAGCTGAGCGTCCATTCGGTGGCGTCAGGGGACGCTTTCTTGAACACACGCAATGCGTTGTCACCACACGCCTAGCAACACAGCGATCCACACGTCAACACACTTGTGCAGCGTGACCCCCTCTCCCTTATCTGCCTTCTCACTCACTCACTGACCGTGGCGATGCAGTCGTCCCCCTGTTTGCTCCAGTCGACACAGTAGATGGTCCTCCCGTGATACCCCTGCAGCGTGCAGCTGCACCGCCACCCACTCACATCCATCTCGACCCTCTCCTCTTCACCCAACACACCGTTGGCCTGCTCCTGCTGCTCCTGTGGCTCCTGCTCAGATGGCTGCTGCTGCTGCTGCTGCTGCAGGTATTGGTCAAGTTGTTCTGTGTGAGAGGATGATGTGACGGCGGATCTGAAGACACCGGACAGGTACCATGGGGGCAGCTTCCCTTTGCCGTCGGGGAGAGTCTGCTGCTGGGGGGCAGCCGCTGGGGGCCGCCGGGGAGGCAGACCTGCAACGTTGTACAAAGGCGAGTGGATGGGTGACTGGCTGGGCGGGTCACTCTGATGTTTCTTTATGTGTCCCCCCTGTGTGCTGTGCTGTGCTGTGCTTACGTGTCCATATCCGGACAGTGCGATCGTCGGAGCAGCTGGCAAAGTGGGAACCTGAGATCATTTCAGAGATAGATGTGATGTGCACCGCAGCCAAGTATGCTATGACCGCCTTCACGGTCTCTTCGTGTCACCATCGTGGTTGAATGCGATGCCCCACACAGTCGATGTGTGGCCCCGCAGCGTGTGCAGCAGACCCCTGCACAAACCCATCAGCCACAGCCAGATGCATCTACGTCTGTGTGTCTCCCTCCCTCCCTTCCTCCCTCCCTCCCTCTGTCTCCGCCCACCAGTCGTCGGTGACTTTGCCCCACATCTTGATGGTGTCGTCATAGCTCGCAGACAGCAGAAACTCACCCTCGGGGTGCCAACGGACACACTTGACGTCTAACAGGCACACACACAGAAAGAGAGCACACCCCCACTCACCACACACATCTATCCATCCGTCGGCTCACCCTGTGTGTGTCCGGTGAGTATGGCGGCGCACTCCCAGCTGGGCTCCTTGCCGCCCTGCCCCTCCCCCTCCACCCGCTCGTACAGCCACACCGTCTTGTCGCGCCCACACGTGGCGATCGACTCACCGGACGGACTCCATACCGCACACTTCACCTGCACACCACACCCATAACAACAAACAACTCCAGACCGGATATGCATTCGCCTCCTGATCCACGTATGCCGTCCATCTGAGCGTCGGTCCGTCACCTCGTTTTCGTGCCCTTCGAGCTTGGTCATGCACCGCCAGCCGGCGGCCTCGTCGGGAGCGGCATCGAGATCTTGCTCCTCCCTCCTCCAAAGGGATGTCCTGCCGTCGAATGAGGCCGCTGCGATGGTCGAGCCGTCCAGTGAGAACTGCACTGTGCGGATGGTGCGGTCATGCGTGTCGGAATTCAGCACCGCCTGACAAACAAAGTGCTCATATGCAGAGATCTATGTATTTGTGACGGGTGCATGAATCGATGAGGCGTGTGTGGTCGGTGCTCACCGCGCACGGTGCCCTGACGGGCCCGGCCTTGCCGCTGCTGTCGATGTTCCAGAGCCTGACTGTCTTGTCGGCGCTGCATGTGGCCAGCACGCAGCCGTCGTGCCGCCAGTCGCAACCCCACACTCTGTCGGTGTGGCCTGTCAGCGTAGCAACCTTCTCCAAGTGCTCTGACATCCTCCTTCCCTCGAAGAAGCTAAGCTCGCAGATCCCAGTGGCGTCACTGACACAGTTCAGCTGAAAGGCACGTATACAGCGGGAAACACACGGCAGGATACAGAGCAGCAGAGATCTATCATCAACACTGCCGTCCGTCATGCCCCCATTATGACACAGCGCCCCTGTCCGCCCTCTCGGCTGGCCCTCCACGCCTCTCTTCCTGCTCTCGCAGCGTTACTGCTGCTGCTTCTGTCATCGGCGCGTGCACAGCACGTGTGTGAAAAGGACGATGTCCGTGTGCGGCGCGAGATCCGTGACCTGAGCGACGATGAGCGGGAGACCTTCATCGATGCCATCATCACGCTGCACAGGACGCCGAGCACACTGGGCAACTTCAGCCAATACGAGGAGTTCACTTACATACACAAACTGGACCCATGGTAAGCACCACACAGACACCAGACACAGGCCGACAGACAGGCAAAAGTGGGCTCCCATCCTCTTGTTGTTTTTGGAGCGCAGGTCGTCCCACCACGACAACCGGTTTTTTCCCTGGCACCGGAAGATCGTCTACGACTTCGAAACGCGCCTGCGCGCCATCAACAAATCCATCGCCATCCCCTACTGGGACTGGACACGCGACGCCCACCACGTACACACCGCACCCGTGTTCACACCACAGTGGTTCGGCGGATCGGGCGCCACGGCAGACGACGACATCCAGTGCGTGCCCGACGGCCGGTTCTCACAGGCGGAGGGCAACTTCTCGCTGCACTTTGCACCGGATTTCTCGACCAATGTGGAGCTAAGTGGGCCAGAGTGTCTGCGCAGGGGCATATGGCTGAATGGGACGGGGCGTGACGTCATCTTGCGGTTCCCTTCGATGCGCGAGGTTGAGTTTGTGTTCCAGCTGGAGGAGTATGTGCCCTTTCGGAAGGTGCTCGAGGTGTTCCACTGGTACCCACACGTCATCGTCGGTCAGCTAATGCACACACACACACACACACACGCACATACCCATGGAAGCACATACCCGTCCGGGCGGCCCTCGTTGTCTGTCTGTGCGTGTTTTCCAGGTGGTCGTGGTCGCGGTTCGTGGGACCGTTCAGGCGGCGAGTTGAACTCGTTCGCGTCGTCCAACGATCCCCTGTTCTACGTGCACCACTCGTTCATCGACAAGCTGTACCACAGGTGGCAGCAGCAGCACGGCCACGACAACTACTCGGGCAACGCCACACTCAGCCCCTGGGGCGTCCCCGTCGCGGCCGTCAGCAACCTCACAGAAATGTGTGTCGAGTACAGGGAATCCGACATCACCGATGCCGAAAGGTAAGGAAAGGACATCTGATGCGCACCTGTGCACATACGAACGACATGTGCCTGTCTCTGTGTGTGTGTTGATGTGTGTGTGCCTGTGTGTGTGTGTCAGGGATGCTCACGAGGCGGCCTACAACGCATCGTTCCCCAACCCGCTGCACATCCCGCCGACATGGCGTCGTGTGCTGGGGTCGGCCATGGTCAGGCGCATGGAGCAGGAGATACTTGCTGTGCAACCACACACCGTGGACGGTAGCAACGGGCCGGCCAGACAGCTCCTGCGAGGCCGCTAGGGCGGACGGGTGGTGACTGATGGATGGATGGATCGTGGATGACCGGGTGTGTGGGGGGTATCGCAACGTGATGCTCTGGTGTGACGGTGTCGCTGCGCTGCGCGGTTGCTGTTTGTCGGTATGTGTTGGTTTATCGGTGTGCGCCTTTTGTCCGTCACGGTGTGTGCATGCCAGCCATCCATTTCTTATGATGCATGAGTTGATGATGAGTTTCGAGTCTCGCAATAGAGACAGACAGACAGACAGAGATGAGGTGGCGAAGGCCACTCGACGATGAGTGCTTGCCTGCGGTGGATGGATGGGTACTGGACACTTCTCTGCTCGCACGGGGTGAGAGGGCCTTGTATGTACAGCCAGGCCTTGCTCGTCTCGTGTGCACGTGTGCACCATGTGTGTGGATGAGGAGGATGGGGTGGATGGATGGATGGGACAGAGAACTCACGCAGAGGGCTGACTGACACGATGTGATCAGTCAAGAGCATTAGGTAATCATTGCCCGATCCATGGTCCCCGATGCAATGCACGCCACGCTCACCCGCACGTTGAGTGTGGGCGCACAAAGCATCATCTGGAACATTTACCGTTCCCACGCTGCCAGTCTATGGCACTCCGGGGAGGGTTCGAAACACCGACCTATCCCTTAGGGGGGGATCGCGCTATCCACTGTGCCACCGAAGCCTTCCAATTAGTCGGGCAAGTAGCACCACACATGCAGAGAAGGGCGAGCGAAACGCCCTTCACAAGGCAGGCAGGAAGGCGGGCAGGCACACAAATCTGTGCCCACGCCATTGACACCAAATGAGACACGCACCCACGGGGAAGCAAAATTCCGACTCAGCGAGCTGACATGAACCTGTCTGTCTTTTGGTGTACATGTCGACGAACAAATATACAATGCCCATATGCTCAACCGTAAACAAACAAATGGATTGCGAACGAGTACACAAATAAATAGATGTGTTACATGGAACACAACAGACAGAAACATACCTATAACGAACAGACACCCCACCCCCACTTCACCCACACACCCACAGACACACACCTTTGCTATCACCAGACGACGAGCCACCAGACCACCCTCAGCCTCCTGTCGGACTTGCCCCCGACCCTCCCATCCATCCAATCGCTTCCATTTTAGGGGCTCTGCATAGTCTGCTGTGTCTCGAAAGCCGCCACTGCGTGTTTGAGGAAGTAGTCGTCGGAGGCCAGCTTGCGATACACATCGGTGACGGCCGGCTGCATGTCCAATCGCCAATCGGCATTCACCTTGGCCACTGACACACAGAGAGTCATACACAGAGAGAGAGACAGTGGACGTGTCTTGGATGCATGTGTGGTGTGTGTGTGTGTGTGTGTGTGCTGTGTGACCAGGTTCGTATTTGGCGACGTTGAACCAGAAGATCGCCCGAATGAGTGCTGTTCAGCGACACATCAGCAAGTATCTCTATGTACGTGTAAGCCAACACTTACGGAAGTCCTTCTTGAGGTTCTTGCCGTCGCTATCCAGGTCGTACACCTCATGCAGCCACGCTGTCTTGATGTCCCACTGAGCATACACACCAGCACACACACACACACACACACACTGAGAGCGTCAGCTTCCCTCCCCTCCCGTGCGTCTCTCTTTTTTGTGTTCACCTCAGTGGCGCCCTGGTGCGGACAGTGCCACCCCCCACCCCCATCCTGCTGCTGCAACACCCGCCCCCCGCCCCCATTGGCTTGTTCTTCCATATAGTTGCGATTCACTGGCCCGTCCACATTCCACACCGCACTGGTCTCCGCAATCAGTATCGGCAGCTGCGGGTTCTTGCTGTCGTCGTTGAGGCGCTGCGCGAATCTGTAGAAATCCTCTATGGGCGGGAAAAATGAGTGCGGGAGGGGGACGATGTTGTTGCCTGGGATGAGGTTCTTGCCGCGGACTTCGTGTCCGAAGTGGAAGTAGCTGATGCCGATCCAGTCGACCAGCGACTTGTCGGGCAGAAACTGCAGGTATGGGTCGTAGGGGTCGATCGAGCTGCACACAAACAAAACACGCCAAGACAGCATATGAATGAGCCAGTGAGTGATGGACGGATGAGTTGGATTTGTTACTTACGCGTTGTAGTGCTGTCCGTCTTTCCAAGGGAAGCCCCACTCCTGATTTGAAAAGAGAAAGCATGAGAAAGCATGCGCTCTTTCTCTGTCAGTGCCATGGTGCGTGGTTCTGTGCATTTCCCAGCCAATGGTGTGGTCAGCTTTTAGACCTGATTTGGCGTCCACACCATCGCCTGATAATCGATCGACACACACAGACACAGACAGGGACACCCACTGAGTGTGTTCTTTCTTTGCTGCAGCACTCACTCACTCACCACTTGCTTCGAGTGCTTCTGGGAGGGTCACGAACATCACAGGCAAGAGCCCATCCAAAGGGATGTGTGTGTGCGTGCGTGCCCGCCTTGCATAGCTTACCCTCATCATCTTGGCGAATTCTTCGAATTTCGCCTTGTACAGATCAGGCTGCTGGCCCCATACGTTCCAACTATACACACACACACACACACACAAAGAGAGAGTGATATATAACGCGCGCCGACCCGCACCCCACACCCTTATCAGCCCCGAGCAGTCTTACCTGCCGTTCATCTCGTGGTTCCATCGTAGAAAGACCGGCACGTCGGCCCACCGGTTGATGAGCTGGGCGAACTTACGCACCTCCTTTGCCGTGTACGAGTTGAGGCCATCTGGGGTCTCCAGGGTCAGCATCGCCATAGCGTCGTTCTCGCGACACTCCCGCATGAAAGACGCCAGCTGTAGCACCAGTCACACGTTTGCTGGTCTTGCTGTGTGTGTGGCTGTGTGTGTGTGTCTGTGTCTTACGGCCTTCATTTCGCCCTCAGTGTCGGTGAGGACTTGAGGGAACTTTATGAACTTCATAAATGCCGCGTGGTGGATGCCCGTCCGCTGGTTGAAGGGCTGCATCTGACCCTCACCCTGACACACAGCAGACGACACAGACACACACTAACACCCTTTCAGCCACTCTCTCCCTGCCTCTCTCCTCACCTCGAGTATGGCTCCCAAATACACCCCATTTCCCGGTACAGGCCTAAGCGCCTGCTTCCTCTTCGGCCCCCCTCCAGCCTTGTCTGCCAGCAGGTCGAGCAGCGGCCCGTCCTCCCCCTCTCCCTCCTCATCCCACTCCTCAGCCTCACCGTCGTCCCCGGCCGGAGGCGGTGGCGAGGCAATGCCATTGTCATCGGCGGCCCAGCTGCCATCAGCTAGATAGTCACCAGGATCCTCCTGGAGTGCTCGCGGCGGTTGGGGCTGCCGCTGTTGGCGGAAGGTTGGTGTGCCGGTGCTGCCGATCACTCTTGACAGGATGCAGCAGACGAGGACGAGCGAGTGCAGGGAGAGCATGAAGGCCGCCCTCACGGAACGCTCCACACGGCGTACAACTGGCCGTTACGACGGAAGAACAAATCTTCCAAAGCAGGCCCCACCCTGCCCTTGCCAGCAATGCCAGATCTTCCTAAGCCTTCCAGAATCCGGATCCGACGCTGCCCGGCCAGAGATCCCAGCCCGCAAAATCCTCGCCGGTCACTCGCGAAAAAGTAACGGCGAGAAAGCGAGACAAACTGCGAAAAAACAAATTGAAAACAAACAATTCTCCTCATCAGCGATGGCATGCCTCCAGCTGTGTTGAGTTGCACGGCCTTAAGGGAGCACGACGCGCAGGAGCTCCTAGCAGGAGCCTCAGCTGTTGTGTGTGTGTTGTGTGCACAGAAGGCCATGGTGAAGCTGAATGGCGTGCGGGGGGTCAACAACATCGTCGGGAGGCTGAGCAAGGTGTCCATCTCACCCGACCGCGGAGAGCAATCAGGCTGCATGGCTTGAGGGCAATCAGGACGACAGACAGGCGGCAGCCACAGGCAACACCGGTGAGTGGTCGCCGACACTGCATTCGTTGTGTATGTGACGGCTTCGTGACGCATGCAAACGCACCTGCTGTGTGGTGTGTTCTGGCTGTTGCATATGCAGGCTGTAGCGGTGAGGATGAGGCGACCTGCCCTAGCGATTGACACACCGCACGGCAGCAGGCACAGGAGCCGGCCAAGGAACCCGCCAAGGAGCCCACCCCGACTGGGCCGGCAGGACTCACCCAAGAGACCGGGTGAGGATCAAGCGTCATGCATGCGGGCGGCGGGATGATTGGTGGCTGTGGGCTTCTTGTCTGTCTGTCCTTCGTTGACCGACTGTAGACCCGCCATGCCGTCGTCGACTGGGAGGGTTGGGGTTGTCTATCGACACCGACGCAGGTACATCGATGTGCCCTCATCACACTCAACAAACTTTGCACATGCCGCCTCTCTCCCTCTCCCTCTCTGTGTGTTATCAGTATCAGTTGACGGACTACGAGAAGGCCATGAACGTGGTGGATGCGCTGCTACTGGCCGACAAGGGCAACCCCGCCGGCGAGCAGCTCAAACTCAAGATCCAACACGACCAGGCCAAGCACATCCACTCCAAGACCGACAGACGCACACACCAACACAAGGTGGGTGGGCGGACAGACGACAGGACAGGACAGGACAGGACAAGAGCCGACCTTCTCGTGGGTCCTATGTGTGTGTCGTGTGTGTGTGGTTTGGTTCAGATGTTTGCTGGGATGTTTGGTGAGAAGCTTTCCTTGTATGAGCACAACTGTGACGGAGGCGAGTCGACGTCTGAGGCGTCTGAGTTTCAGCTCCTCGAGCAGGACAAGAGCCTGATCAAGCTGGGCATGGGCTTCGCCTTCCGCCCCGTCAAGGCCGCCAAACCGCAGCACGACACAGGTGAGTGAGACTGACCAGTGCACAGCCCACTCTCCCCCGATCTGATCTGATCTGCTTTGCTATCCTGCGGATGGTTGGATGTGTGCAGGTTTGCCGCCCCTGAGTTTTGACGAGTGTGACTCCAAGATGCCGCTGTCCTGCGGAGTGGCGTTCTCCGTCGGGTCGGCTGGGCTCAGCGAGGGGTCTCCCAAGAAGCGTCCCCACCGCCGGTCTGCTGCGTCGAACCACAAGAGTGCGGGCGCGGCGAAGAAGCTGCCGACACTCACACACGGTGAGTCAGTCGGTGAAACTGAGTATCAACACCGACGCAAATGTTGACGCACCGGCTGGTGAGTGAGTCAATGGGCGATGGGGAGGGAGGGGAGGGATCACTGCATGTCTGTCCCCTCTGTTTCAGCGAGTCGTCCATCGCCAAAGGGGAACCGCACTGAGAAGATAGACCGCACAGACCCCCTGATCAACACAGTCTTCGAACACCACCAATAGTACGTGCGATGTGCCAGCAGTGGGGAGGGGAGCAGAGCACACACTTAATGCGGTGAATACTTTTTTGTCCTTCTCTGCGTGTGTCTCTGCTCTACAGGAGAGAATGTCATCCATCTGTATGATCTGTGCGAGGCGAAAGGCAGGCTCCTCATAGGCAGCAGGGACGCCGCGCATGACCCATCGGTAGAAAATGTGCATACACTCACTCATGTGTGCCGGCATGGATTGCGTGTGTCCCTTTCTCTGCCTGCCTGTCCATCCATCAGTTTCTGAGGTCGGCTGGCCTGACGCACGTGTGCAACCTGGCGGCAGGGGACAAGTGGAGGGCAAAAGACAGTCAAGGCAGGCAAGGGCGGCAAGGGCAGCGAGGAAGTTGGGGTGGGGAATCTCTGCGTACATTTTATATTTCCATGTTTTATATTTCCATGACGACGTTGAAGGGGACAGCCACCCATCGGGCTGAGATACAAGCCCAGGGAGGACGACAATTGGATCTCTCATTAGATGATGTCTTGGTGCGTCCATTCATGAGTGCACTCACGCGGCTTTCGACCGAGCAGTTGTACACACACCAAGCAAAAAGGAAGAACCATGCCCAGCCGTGTCGTCTCTTCTGGATGCATGGTCAGCGACGGTGTAGTTGGAGGGAGAGACTATGCGGTGCACAATGGATGGATGTGCGTATGGATGGATGGCTCTGGTGTGAATCACGATGGACACGTGTTGATGGACTGACTGACTGACGTTCACGCACATATGTATGATTGGCGAAGTCTGTCTGTGTTGATGCGTAAGGGCAGCGAGGAAGGTGGGTGGGGAATCTCTGCCTACATTTTATATTCCCATGTTTCATATTTCCATGACCACGTTGAAGGGGACAGCCATCCATCGGGCTGAGACACAAGCCGAGGGAGGACGATAGTTGGATGTCTCTAATGTCTTGGTGCGTCCATTCATGAGTGCACTCACGCGGCTTTCGACCGAGCAGTTGTACACACACCAAGCAAAAAGGAAGAAAGTCGGCAAGTCAGTCGGCCCGTCTCCCTCGTTGGTGCTGTGCTGTACACAGAAAAGACCCCTCCCTCCCTCCAATCCGCCCCGTCCCTCCTCACACCGATAGATAGAAATCAGCCGGGCGGTCACCCCGCCGGCATGTTCGACATACCAAAATGGACGCACACACCAGGCAGGCAGACAGGCAGACAGACAGATATCCACATGTGTGCTCTATGTATGCATGGGTGACCCCCTGCACCCGCCTCCACCCTCATATGTGCCCATCAGCACACACGTGCCATCGCATCGCATCGCATGGCATATTCCATGCACTGAAAAAGACAGCGAGAACAGATGAATGGATGAATGCTCAAATGAGCATCAGTTATCATGCAGCTGGCTGCCCATGTGACACTGAAAAACTGCCCGCCCCACCGGCTTTGTGTCGGCGGAGTCAGGCATAGAGACAGACAACACGAGAAACGTGGGCAGTGAGTATGCCGACGCGTCGCGTTGCGGCCCCTCCCCTCCCTCCCTCCCTCCCTGGCTGGCTCAGTCGTTCCTGAAGATGTCGGTGAGGACGCTGTATCTGCTCTTGTCGCGCGGCGGTATGGGGCCCTTGCCGGCAGCCTTTGAGCACGTCCGACACATACACGGACCTGGCACAGCCACACACATGCCAAGGGAGCACCTGGGGGTCCACGCGCCTGTTTGTGAATGTGTGAGGGTATCTTACCGTGGTCGGTGAGCGGCGGTGCGAGGGGGTTGCGTTCGAGTGGCGTGATGCATTCGTAGGCGCCCGACTTGTTCTTCTCGAGGATGACGTATTCGCAGTTCCTGAGGTTCTCCCAGCTCTCCATCTCCTGGTAGCTGTAGTGGAAATACCTACACAACACACACACGAACTCACAAGGAAGAATCAGAGACTCGCCCGACCGTGGCAGCGTCTGGCTACCTCATAATGAAGACCCTGCAGGTGAACCCGTGGCTGACAAGGATCACGTTGTCCATCTGACCGCCCTTGCTGTCGAACTCTCTGAATAGCGTGTGCAGGAAGGACGTCACTCGGTCGTACACGTCGGCGCCGCTCTCGCCGCCCTGGAACCGAAAGAAGAACCGACCCACGTGCTGCCGCTTAGCACGGGCCTGCACACGTGCAGAGCAACGGACAATCCACACATGCAGAAAAATGACGTGTCCATTGCCCTCACGGACCTCTTCGAACGACTCTTTTCCGGGCAGAAAGCCCCACTCCTGCTCGCGAATGCGTGGCTCGTACCGAACCTGACACAGGCATCAAGGAAGGAGAACATGGGCAAGGAAAGGGGCGATATGGTGAGCTTACCCAGTACTGCCCCCGGTCGAATGCTTTGATCATCTCCTCGAAGGTCTGGGCGGTCCGCAGAAAGGGGCTGACGTAAAATGAGACCGTCTCGTTGCCGATCAGCTGCTTCAGGGACTCGCCAGCCTCCTGCACACACACACACACGCAAACACACACACACACCAGTGGCTGCAGAACGTGTGCACACCCCGCCCGTGTCTGCTCTCCCTGCGTACCCTCGCCTCCCGTCGGCCCTTGTCGGTTAGAGGGATGAGGTTATCGGGCACGTCGAAGTACGTGCTCGGGTATTTGTTGCCCAAAGACTCCCCGTGCCGCACCAAAATGATCCTCTTGGGCCGCGTTTTCGTCCGGTGCCGCCATATCAGCGTCGACAGCACCTTGACCACCAGCTCAGCCAGCAGATCAAGAAACAACTCCCCCCAATAGTACAGCCACTTGGTGATGGACCACTGACCCCAGCCGTCCTTCTCCCGCGCCATAAAGGATGGGGAAACGGGCAAAGTCGACGAAATGGAGACGGGCGAGTCGCTGTCCTGGTCCGTGCGCGGGCAGTCTGGCGCCAGCTGTCGTGCCCGGCGCGTCAGGGAAGTGGCTGACTCGGTGCTGGAAGTTCCCCCGTTCGCAGATGTAGCGGGGGGGATGAGGTGCAGCCGGGCGGACATGTCTGACAGAGTGTCGCTTCGGGTGGATCTGGTCTCCTGATGGAAGGGGCTGTGAGGGGCAAGGCATACTTGGGAGGGATCCCAGGGCAGAAAGTTCAGGCGGGGCGCCTCGTGAGGCGGGTCCGGGCACTCGGCAGCGGGAAGCACTGACATATTTCCTCGAATACGTGAGGAAGAGCGCGCAGCAGATCGGTTTTCTAAGCTCGCAAGCCAAAAAGTTCGTTTCACGCCAGCCCTAAAACAGCAGGGGCGCGAGAAAGAAAACCATGAGGCAACAGAGCAAGTGAGCTGACTGGCCCGTTTGTCGCTCGTCTGTATTGCATCATTGCATTGCGGTGGACCGCATTGCCAGCGGTACGTAAGTGGCCGCCGCCACACGCCATTTGCGGCATGCATGAGTCCGCTGCATCGCATTCGCCATGCATGCGACCGCGTTGCCTTGATTTTTGCTGGTAGGTGTGGCAGCCGGTGCTGAGCATGAGGAAACTGCGGCTGCTGAGCATCGACACCGAGGCGGAGCTGGACGCCGGAGCAGGTGACGGAGGGAGGGAGGGAATCAGTGGGTGAGCGAGGGGACGACGTGAGGGAATTCTGTCCGTTCCCTCCCTGTGTCTGTCGTATGCATTCTGCGCCAGCCAACCGCCCGTCGCCCAAGGGCAACCGCACCCACAGAATGGACCGCACAGACCCGCTCACTAACACCATATTCGAATACCACCAGGAGTACGTGCGATGCGCTAGCAATGGGGAGGGCTGCAGACGAGGCGACCATGCAAATCATCCTTCTCTGTGTGTGTCTGCTGTCTCGGAGGAACGTCGTTCGTATATACGATTTGGGCGAGGCCAAGGGGAAGCTGCTGATAGGGAGCAGGGAGGCCGCACACGACACAAAGGTAGGTAATTCACGTACCCCTGTGTGCTGAGGACGATATCGCATCGGCATCTGTGGTGACACATTGCTTTGTTTGCCTGTCCATCTGTCAGTTCCTCAAGACGGCCAAGGTCACCCATGTGTGCAACTTGGCGGCGGGCGACACGGCGGGGGGCGAGTACACATGCGCCTCCAAGGGCAACGACCTGCCGGAGGTGACCTTCTGCGACGTCAAAAACATGAAGGTGGGCGGACAAACACCACACACACACGCAGAAGGACGAGCAGTCGATATCTCATTCTCTCCGTGTGTATGCAGGACGGCAGTGACGACGGAGTGCACAATTTCGCGACAGCTGGAGTCGCAGCCATAGACTTCTGCCTGAAGGCCCTCGAGGATCCGGAGACCACCCTGCTGATCCACTGCCGCGCCGGTGAGTGCGTGAGTGAGTCACTTGAGTCAGTGAGAGCCCATCCACTGGCTGCACTAACTAACAGCCAGCCGACCAGTCAGATGCACACACCGCCCCACGCACACATACATGTGTCCTTGTCTGCGTGTCTGTTTGCTGCCCACACAGGCGTCTCCCGGACTGGCTGCATCGCTTCCTGTGTGTTGGCCGCGTTGAAGAAGGACACATACACACATAACCGAGGAGGGTCCGCCAGTGCCGCTGCCGCCGCGGCTGCCGCTGCTGTGGACCATGGGCAGGGCAGGAGTTTGTTCGACACGGCATACACCGAGGTGTGGATCGGATCGCTGCACACATACACACATATGCTGCCTCATTCTCTGCGTGGCTGCTGCCTGCCTGCCTGGTGCAGATCCGCGAGTACCGATCCATCGCGCCGAACGTCGGCCTCACTGAGGCGGGCAGACAGTGGTGCTCTACGATGGCTGCCGAAGGTGCGTGTGCAGGCAGGCAGGCACTCATAGCGTGTTTCCTCCTCACCCTGCTCTGTGTGTCCTCCTCCGTCAGGTACCGCCTTTGCCCGTGGTCCGCCCCCGCCCCCTCGCGGCGGACGGCCTATGAAGTTGTTGTCGAACATGGACGAGATGGATGAGGAGAATGACCAGAGTAAGCAGATACGCACACACCCATCGGTCACACACATGCCCCTCATCTGCCGACGCGGTTGGCTGTCTGTCTGTCGGTCTGTCTGTCTGTCAGTGCCTCCCCCACTGCCCCCGCCCCCGGCCCCACGCGGCCGTCGGATGCAATTGGACCTGGAGGCTGAGATGGACAACTACAGGGGGGACGACGCTGCTTCTGGTATGCAAACACCCGCACACGCAAGGCCACACAGACAGCCAAACTGACCCCGCCTGTCCCCCTCAAAGAGAGAGAAAGAAAATGGGCCCCTCTTTGCTGGCACTTGTTGTTTGTCTGCCTCTCAGTGCCTCCCTTGCCCCCGGCCCCACGCGGCCGTCGTGTGGGCACGTTGTTGACCGATACGGACGAGGAGTTTGGCACACATGATGAGTTGGCCGGCAAGATCTTCAAGCCACCCGGCCGCTCACATGGCTTCTTGAGGGAATCGTTGCACCGCTACGCCGATGACCATATGGAGGTTGGCGACGGTAAGTGAGTGGAGTGACTGAGGAAACCCGACACAACTGTGTCCTTTCTCCGCAGGCTTGGCTCGTGTGGTGCCATCCAAGGCCTCAGGAGCTGCTGCGGCTGCTGCTGCAGCTGCTGGCCATGGTGACGACGAGCTGATGCAGGATGTTCATGCCAACGTGGGCGGCAGCCGCAAGCGGTACGTCGGCATAGAGACACACACACACGTATACACACACGCCCACATTCACGGCCAAGCACCTGATGGATTGCGTGTGTGTGTGTGATTTGTTGCAGGGGTGCGCCCGAGGACGACACCGAGTCAGACACAGAGCACCTCGGCGCGCGCAAGAAGCGCAAGCAGAACCACAACCAGCACCAGCAGCCCCCACCCAGCGGTGCGGCAGCGGCGGCGGCGGCGGGAGGAGCTGCCGCTGCAGCAGCAGGTGGACGGCGGCGAAGGGCGAGGAGGGAATACGAGAGGAAATGGGAGCGCGTTGGCGGCCGCCTGCAGTGCATCGGACCTCAGTAGCCTCCCTAGTCTGTCTGTCTGTGTGCCTACCTACCTACCTGCATTGGCTTCGACGGGAGGGGGTGGGGTGCCTGGCATGGCATGGCATGGCATGCTGTCTGTCTGTCTGTCTATTGTGTGCATATATAGCACGGGAGTGATGTGATGTATGGCCGACGCTGCCTGTGTGTTGTGGGTGAGCAAGCAAGGAGGGAAGGAAGGAGTTCGATCGATGGCTTGATCAGATGACACGACGACTCGCTTACTCACTCACTCACTCACTCACTTGTCCAGTCTGTTTTGTTGATGAGCTCCAGCAGCCATTGACGGCCGACTGCCAGCTCGTGCAAGAGTGTGCCTTCGATCGTTCTTGGTGGCTGTGGTCATGGGGGGACAGACAGCTGGATGGACGGATGGATGGATGAATGGTGTGAGTAGCGTCCCTTCGATCTGTGTGTCTGTGTGCCTTCCTACCTACCTGCCTTGGACGGGCCGGGAGGAGGTGGGGTGCCTGGCATGCTGTCTGTGTGTATCCATCTGTGTGCACGGGAAGGGAAGGATGCCTGCCTGGTGTCGCGTGTGTGTGTGTGTTGTGGGTGAGCGAGCAAGCAAGCAAGCAAGGAAAGCGGAAGTTCGATCCATCGATGGCTCGACCACGCGATCACTCACTCATTCACTTGTCCCATATGTACCCAGTCAGTCTGTGTTTTGATTGATGGGCACACGCGGCCTGCTTGTTTCCTCCAACCGATTGCCACCTTAATTGTGCCGTGCAAGAGTGTGCCTCTCGATCGTTCGTGGTGGCTGTGCGGTGCGCATGGGCAGTGAGTGAGGGACAGACAGAGGCCGACGGTGTGTGTGCTTCACCGGTGGTCCACCGTGTGCGGCGTGATGATATATGTCGGCGGCGAGTGCTGGTGTAGACAAACAGACAGACAGCCAGAGCTGCCGACCTATAATGCCGGCACACACTTGATGGATAGATACCCCGCCTGGAGCCGATTCTATTGGCTGGCTGTGAACAGTGTGTTGGTTGACGATGGTTGGGCATGGTTGGAATCAGATGAGTGGGTGAGTGAGCACGGAATGGATGGAATGGCCAGATGGACGGGGGGTGGTGATATTTTTTCTTTGGCACCCGCACACCACACCACCTCTGCCAGCACTAGTTGCCCCATTGCCGCTCTGACCTTTGGCCGCTCTCTGAGTGAGCTTGGGGACCGGGGCAGTGATGGGACAACTGGTGCTGGGAGGGGGAGGGGTGGTGCGTGCGGCCTGGGATGTGTGTCAGTGGACGGACGGACTGACCGACAAAACAGACAGACAGACAACGGCTCGACTGACCGCTCCCCGTGCGGGTGAGCAGTGAGTGGATGGAGTGCACATGTGAGGCTGTTCATCGCTGCCCATGCTCAACATTTGTGCTCTCTATGAGTTTATTTATGATGTGCTTTCCTTTGATGGCAGGCCATTTAGCCAATTGATAGGGCCATCTAATGTCGTGTGTTTTGTTTGTGAGTAGACCCACTGCTGCCTGGCTGTCCTCGGAGTGTGAGTGTGGCCACGTTCTCTCTCCCCGTGGATCCGTGCTCCGCAATTCGTTTGCCCTCTCTCTCTCACACCCACACACCTGCCTGGCTGTCTGTCTGTCTGCCTTTCTTCCACTCCACGTGTGTGTGCGCCTCAGAGCGGCTGTGCGCGTGGAGTGCTTTTTCGTGCGTGCCTCTGTGTGTGAATGGACATGCGAATTAATGGACGGCTGGCTGCGTTTGAGCTGGCTGGCTGGATGGACGGATGGATGTGGGTGGCTCTGGTGTGCATCACGATCAATGGACACGTGTTGATGGACTGACTGACTAACTGAAGTTAACGCATATATGGATGGATTATGGAGGATGGGAGCACAGCGCGGACTTTCCTCTCTCTCAACCATTCGGACACCACACCCCCACACGTGGCACACCCTCACCCACACACGCATCGAACACCGACAGCAGCGGTTTGTGTGTCTGGTGTGCTGCCTGCCTGGGGTGCGCGGGTGATATGACCGAATCCCGGGCCATTCCCTTACGTATTTGACCACTCTGCTGCCTGTCTATTGGCTTCTGGCGGCTGTGTGTGTGTGTGTGTGTGTGCTGTTTTCTTTCACCTGGTAGTGGACGGAACGACGAATTGACGAGGGATGAATGAATGACACGTGCGCGTGGATGAGTAAGACCCGATCGGTGTCCAGGAATGAGTGAATGAGCAAAAGCCATCCATACCTGGACAGAGTGTTCAATATGGATGGAATCGGTTGTGAAAAAAGTGTCCTTCTGTCTGGTCCTCACTCATATCGATCAGTCAGCCGAGAACTCGTCCACCCCATGCACCCTACTATACAAACAACCGTCCATCCATCCATCCATCCGACAAAATATGCAAACCACCTCACCCGACCGTGCATCCTGCCGCCCGCCAACCCACCCACCATATCTCTCTCTCCGTCCCTCCCTCCCTCCCCCTATCAATCACCGATCTCATTCACTGCCGCGGCCGCTTCCTGAGGTTGTATCGTCGGCTCTCTGCAGCCCCGCCCCAATTCTCGCCCCCGCCCTCACTGTCATCCCTCATGCTCGCACTGCTCGATGTCCGCAGCGGTGTGGCAGCTGGCGGCGGGATGCGAGCACCAGTAGCAGCAGCAGCGGCAGCGACGAGAGGGGGAGAAGGCACCGGCGGGGTGTCTCGATCTCGGCGAGGGAAGAGGGTCTCTCGCCGGGCGGCAAAGAGCCGCCCAAAATCGCGTAAAGAAGGAGCAGCTGCTGCTGCGGCAGCTGCTGGGCCGCCCGGACTGGCGGCGCGCTGGGATGAGGCTGTGGCAGCCAGCTGCGGGAGGAACTGGCCTGCAGGCATGACACCATACACACACGCACATGGACATGGATGGCATCATTCTTTCATTCTGATGTGATGCTCACTCTGCCGCGCAAACATCTTGGCTGACACACAGCGAGGCAAGCAGCACACGCACACATGCGGCCATGGGTGTGATGTGATGTGCCCCCACCCACCCACACGCCCACGAACCGTACCATATGCAGCATGGTCGACGACGAGCATGCCTCGTTTCTCGTCCTGGTCGCACTGCTCTCGCTCAATCCACGGGTGCTCCAGCAGCTGAGGCACCTTGAACCGGGAGTCGCCGTGCTGAACACACCAAAGCAAAGCAAAGCAGGGCAATACGCACGGTGGCATGTGCGGCTGCGTGTGACTGCGCTGCGTACGTACCACCTTGAGACACTTGAGGAGGAAGTCGGGCAGCAGGCCGCTATCGGCGATGTCTACGGGGACGAGAGCCTTGAGGTGGTCGCTGTCGCCTAGAAACTTCTCAAAGAGAATCGTCAACGCCTCATTCATCTGGCAGGCACACACACAGAGAGAGATGCGTCCACGAAGGTGCATTCTGTCTGGCATTGTAGGGGTGCAGTGCCCGCCTGTATGTGTGTGTTAACCCCCATGTGTTGGGTGTGATCACGTACGTGCTGAGTGGCCATCGCGTTCTCTTTGCGCGCCTGCGCGTTGTCTGCGGCAGAGTACTTGAAGCGAACGGCCGAGTACTGACGAACGAAAACACCACACAGCCCAAGACGGAACAAAAAGCATTCGGACAGTTCCTTTCTTCCGTGCACCGACATGGCAGGCCATCTTATGTGTTGTGACCGACCTGCGCCAGACACGAGTGTGCCGCGTCGCCCTGCATCTCCTTCATGTGGCAGAGGAGCAGCTCGAGCAGCAGCTTCCCCACCGACCACACGTCGACAGTGAAGCTGTACGGCACACAGTTGTAGCACTCGGGGGCGCTGAAACCTGACACACCAATCAACAAAGACACACACACACACATACGGGCAAACATGAATGCCGTTAGTGGGGCCGGTGGCTGGGCTGAGTGTTGTATGCTGTGTGCTACATACACCTGATGTGCCGGTGAACCAGATGGTGCCCTTGGTGCCCTGCTGCAGCCGCTCTGATATGCCGAAGTCACACTGACCACGACCCACACACACACAGACACAGGAATCACACATGGACAACAAGTCGTGCTGGTGGGCACACGAGGAAGAGTTTGGGGTCTCGTATGTTGGTGGTGTCGACGAGGAGGTTGTTCGGTTTGACGTCCTTATGCACCACACCGGCCGCGTGACACTTGGCCAGCGCCACCAACACCTGACGAATCAACCAAAACACCCACACAGACAAAGAGACATGGGAGAGATAAGGCAACACGTCCGTATGTTTTGGGGGTGGGGTTTGCGGACACTCGGCACGTGATGCTGCAATTTCACATGGAGCGCTTGAAGATGGCCTTGATGCAGCTCTCATCCAGGTACCCATCTGATACACACACAAACACACGGATCCCCAGAACAGGATGGAACATTGAGCGTGTCACCGTGGTGCCCTTCGCCCTCCCCTCACTCACTCATCTTTGGCCGGCATTATGAGGTAGCAGCACGCAGACGAGTCTAGCACAGCACCCTCCAGCCTACACACTCCCACACACAGCCGCAATTTGTGTGTATATCGGTGTGTGTGTGTGTGGCTCTCTGACTGTCTGTCTGTCTGTCTGTCTAACGGAATGATTGATGGAGCCGTGCCCGACACGATGCGATGCGCCACTACACAGCACATACAAATACACATTACTGTAGGGACGAGGCCCCCGCCTCCACCACACCACTATACTGGCTCACCGATCTCCCGGCGGTAGGCCATGGCGTTGGTCTTGTATTCTCGACACCCAACCACCTTCACCACCCTCCTCACAGCCCCACCCCCGGCAGCACCACACCGCTCGTCGATGTGCACCTTATAGCACGTCGCCTGGCCACCATTACCCTGAATCAACCAACAATCACACCCTCCCTGTCTCCCTCAACTTTCTTGTTGTGTCGGTGCGTGTGTCGTGTGTGTCTTGTGACCACGACAGGCCCGATGGCGAGGTTCATGAGCAGGCTGTCGGTGCCGATTAGTGAGGGGCCGAAGCAGAGGGACCCGTGGGGGAGGGGGAACATGGGGTGGGGCGGCGATGGGAGGTTGCGGACAACCACGCCGGGCGTGCTGTAGTGAGCTAAACCGTTGACCCCTGCAGTGCACCAAGACAAGACAGAAAGCCGTGCGTGCCTTGGCGTGCTGGCTGGAGGATGGGCGTCTTGTCTTTCTCTGTGGTGTGGCCGGGCCGTCAGTCACCTGTGGTCGACTGGAGTTTCGCCACGAAGAGGTCGAGAGCGCTGCGATCGCTCACGCGGTAGTGCTTGTCAGTGGTGCCATACAGGTGGTACGGGAGACTGAGTGCCAGCATGCCCTGGGTAAACCTAAATACCACCAAAACAAACATGAACCACAAAATGGATGGATGGATGGATGGCCGGTGGTGGATGTTGTTTTGCTTGGCTCACACTTCTGTCGACGCGTCTCTGTTGGCGCCGTTGTGGTAGCTAATGCTGAACTCCGCACTCGTGTTGTACGGCACACGGGAAGCCTCGAAGTAGTCACGCAGAAAAGCCTGACGGCCGGACAGACAACCAAAGAGATCCTGTTGCCGTGCAGTGCAAGTGCCGTGTTTGGTGCGTCGCACCCACCCCCCCACCTAACCTTTGCTTCCTGTATCCAGCCGTTGTCCCTGTCTGGCGTCGAAACGTACCCCACCCACCCGCTGCTGAGCGGCCCGGTCCTGAGTTGGCGGGCCACCTGCAGATGGCAACGCAGACCCATGCCACCCAGCACGCCGCCAGACCCATCTGCACACAGACAGATCACACCACATGACAGCGACCCAAGTGTGAGTGGATTCGTATGTATGTGTGTGTGTGAGCGGTTTGTAGCACACCTGCGATGTCGACACACACGTATCCTATGCTGAGCACGTGCCGCGGGCCGGTGCCCGGCTGCACCGCCTCCACGGCCCGACGTATCAGACTCCCCTTCTCGCCTGCACACACGCACACACACACACACACACAAGTCAAGCAAGGCCTGCCTGCCTGCCCCTCAGCGGGGCGATTTGAGTGGCCATAAGTACCGAAGAGGCTGGCGATTTGGGGAGCGAGTGGGGCGCGCCTCCCAGTGCCACTCCCGCTATCTGCACATGCACAGCCGCAAGGAGGACAGCAGCCATTGCGGAGGCGTTGGTTTCGGTTGCTGATCTCTCTCACCATTGCCGTTGTAAAGGATGAGCACATCCACCAGGGTGGTCGCTGTGTTGAGGACGGGCCCGTCCGACTCGGGCTCCTCCAGCCGTCGGCGGACGAAGGGGTCGCCGGAGGATTCCGACATCCCTCTATCACTCAGATCCTCCTGCTACCCTCCGGCATGCCCTCTGTCTGCCTTTCGCCTCAAACGCCCTCCTGAAACTTTCAAGCTCGCATTCAAGAAAGATCGGTCTGCCGCCAAAGCGACGGTCTGATGCGTGACTCAGAACCTGCGCCTTGCAAACCCGAGTCGGCATGATTCATGACGACGCCACATTGTGACCGACTGCTGAAGATCTGCTGCACATGGCCGTGCGGAGGACCAAGGATGCGCTGCTGCGGTACTTTGTCGAGGCTGGGGCCGTCAAGAATGAAGGCAGCGTCGCCAGAGACCATCTCGGTGAGCAGACAGACAATTACGATTGGCAGCAGCGCCGGCACAGCACGAGGGTGTGGTTTGCGTGCGTCGTGTGCAGCCAATGAGCGCACCTTCTTAGCCTGGGGTCGGACGGGGCTGGCCTTCATCGCTTTCGGGCTCGGCATACAGGCAAGGCAAGGAGGGTGAAGGAAGACAGAGATGCGCCATGCCATGTCCGGGGGACAACAATGTTGTCCTCTGTTGCTTGATGCAGGAGTTCTATTTCGAGTTGTTGAGGCGGCGGAGCGACCTCTCGACACAGTGCCGAGCTGGTGCCTCCCCTGCTGCAGCCCCTGACGAGCAGGCGGCCCTGCCGTTTCAAGCGGGTGCGTTCACCCCATGCCTCTCTTCAGCCATCTGCCTCACGACGGGATGCGGCTTCGTCACTTTTGGCGCCTACAGATACTTCAAGACCCAGTATCTGCTCAACAGGGGCATGTTCAAACCCGGCAAAACTGGCGTGGTCGTCATCATCTTGTTCTCGACGGCCATGACGATGGCGGGCGGATACAACCTGGGCAGCATGAAGAGCGTCGCCGCCGCCAGTCCCGCACTCCCCTCCATGCCCTCCCTGCTGTCCCCATCACAGCCGCGAGAGGCGACCCCTTCCCCTGCGGCTGCTGCTGCCCCTCCTAGGCTGCCCCAGGAAGAGACCAAGCCTGTCAAGAGGGCTGCGTGATACCCATGTCTGTTGACTGCACTGAGCTGTGGTCGTTGAGGGAGTTTTTCGGTCTGTACAGCTGGCTGGTTACGTCGCAGTCGAGAGAGATCTGGTGGTAGTGAGTGAGTGTGGGGGCTGAGCGGTCTTTGCAGTGTGTGCCAGGGTGATGGGCTGACGTGATGGCAGTTCGGTGCATGGGCGGCAGATCTGCAGACCTTCGTGGACCCTTGGCGAAGCACTCGCTTGGTGTCCGGTCAGTCCTCCCTCTCTCTCTCTCTCGATGGATGTGTGTGTGGAGCGTGTGTGTGTGCGTGTTGTGTGTGGATGTGTGGTGACTTCCTGTGTGAATGCATCAGCTCATGTGCATCGTGTTGATCAGTGTGAGTCGAGCCGCACGCACACATTTCCCATTTCGTTGATCATTGTGGTCCATGAGTCTGGCAAAAACGACTAGAATATTCGCCCATCCACCCATGGCATGCAGTCAATCACCCATTTCAAATCACTCAGTCCCCTTCCAGCCAACCACACCAGTCGTCACTCCTCACCCGAGACCGTCCCCCTGTCGATGACGGCACTTTCGAGATCGAATCGCCGCAGCAGACGGCGCCAGACGGGCATCGACACCGGGAAGCGGTCGGCGAGCGGATGAGACCGATCAGCAGCAGGCCGTTCGGTCGTCCGCAGCTGGATGCCGCCGAACCGAATCCACAGGTAGACAGAGACGGTGTCGCCAGGGCGCCAGCCGCCCACAATCACATGACGAAAGTGAACATGGGCATCAGCATCATTCAGATCGCCCCCGTCATAGTGATAGTCAACAGCGATGCCCTGATCCTCTGTGATGCCATCGGTCAGCAGAGGATGGCCCTGGCCGATCCTCTGCTGACCGATGGTGGTCAAGGCGATGCGGACCTCTGTGATGCCATAGCGATGGTGGCCAAGGCCGATGTCCGCCACCAGCACCCCTCCAAAGCACCACCAATTGAGCAGGCTGGACAGCAGGAATGCCGAGAAGGAGGGGTAGAGAGTGCCGCCCCCCAACTCCGATCGGATGACGGGATCGGTCCGCTTGTAGCCGTCAGCGTAGCGATGCCCGCCCGGCACCTCACCCAACGGCACCACACGAAACGTCACCTCGTCGCCGAAGTGATAGCTCCCGTTGTCGGCCTGCTGCAGCGCCAGGCTGGTCCCTCTGTGTGTGAGCAGGTGGCCGATGATCTTGTAGATGGCAATGGTGAGTGGCATTTGGTGGAAGGCCATTGCTGTGGGCAGTGAGTCCGCCGGCAGACGGAGAGGCCGCGTCGCATCAGCAGGGGTGAGCCGGTAGATGAATGCCAGCCGAATGAACCGCCCATTGCCCGCCACTCCTCGCCACTGCCCCGCTCCAGCAGATAAACCGCCTTCAAGCCGGCCTCCAGATCATCGCCAATGTCGAAGGCCAACACGTCCGCCAGGCCGAGACGACTGATGGCCTTGTCGATGTGCTGCTGGACGCCGTTGAGCAGGGTGCTGTTGACGGTCTCCGCAGTGTGGCCCAACAGCTCCTGTTGCCAAGTGCGGGTGACGATCTGCGAGCGGAGAGCGGCTCGTTTGGTATCGTCAATCGCCATGGCCATGGCGGCCATCTTGCTGATGGGCAACGACAGGTCAAAGAGGTCGGCGGGCTGGAAGAGGGCAGGGCTGGGGGGACGGGACGAGGTCGCTGCACCAGTGGGCTGCATCGTGAGTGTCTTGAGGCCTCAGCGAAGAGCGGGGTGTGAGAGATCTGCAGCCACACAACAGACACACGGAAAGGGATCGGTTTGCAGCAGTTCGATGCTTCATCTGCCTCTCTCGCTGCCCTCTCACCTCCGATGAGTGTCTTGAGACGGCAGCAATCTTGAGGTGGATCTTGAGGTTCGGCCTGTTGTGGCAAGTAGCACAACACGCCGCACTTCAAGATGCTGCGGCGATGTGCAATAGGAAAGGGGTCCGACAGCCAGGTTGAGATTCACTTCATTGAAATGGATGGCATCTGGTACACTCCAGAGCCATCATCTCGCTCAGCTACGACGTCACGGACAGAAATGCAGCACCAAATGCTTCGCTCCGCATCCTCTCCACCTCGCCCCGACGTTGCCCCGACGCGTCTGCATGCAGGGGCTGGGGGCCTGTTAAAGCCCTGTGCACTGAAATCGCAAGAGTGCAGCCGAGGTGAAGTCCAGAACGTCTTCCCCATCGCCGTCATCAGTGGTGCGTCTCGGGACACGTCCCTGACGGACGAAAGGCAGCGGGTCACCGTGTCGCTTTGTTCTCTCTCTGACGGCCTGCTGCTGAAGAGATGGCCTACCAGATCCCCATCACGTACCTCACCTCTGCCCGAGGCCACCCCTATCAAGCGGCCGTCAGCCCCGTACACGCTGTTGCCCAACCTGCCTCTCGCCAGACGGCGGCGATGAATGTGACGCCCTACGGCTACCCCGCTGCTGCTGCTGCCTTGGCAGGGCTGCAGGGTGGGTTTGGTTATGGTAATGCGGCTTATGTGAATGCCCCTGGCTTCTATGGGCCCCCCCACGCGACTGCCGGTAGTCAACAACAGCAGCCCGTCAGCGGGCCGTCTTACCAGCAGCAGAGAGGGAATCTGGTGCCGGGAGGAGTGGGAACACCGTGCTTTGCCGACCCCTACCAGCACAAGATGAAGACTGGTACGACACGATGTGCAGGAGAAGACGAGAGAAGGATTCCCCTGAGGAACGTCTTGTGTGTCACATCACCCCTACGTCTCATGCAGATGAGCGCATTCGTGCGGCAGCCGCCGCGATGGACCACCCAAGGCTCGAACCGGCACTCGTCCGCAAAGGCGTAAGGGAACGTGGCTGCGTGCATGGACCCAACTGCATGTGGTAACTGCATGACTGTTGTGTTGGCAATTGTGTCTCTGGCTGCAGGCCAAGCTGATGGCCGTGTGGCGCCCGGTGCATGAGGCTCCAGCTCCAGCACAGGCATCCAAGAGCACCGTCAACCGCTCGGGCTACACCGGCACCAGGCGCAACACACAGTAAGCAAACCATCCTCTGTGCATATTCCAAAGCCTTCCCACACTCATTGGCCTGTTTGTGTCTGTGTGTCTTTTGTGTACGTCAGTCCCGGTGTCCCGTCTCGTAGTGTGACGAGAGGTCGTGTTGAGAGTGGCTCCCGCCCGCCCCGGCCGACAAGCCGCCGGGCCACCCACAGCGGCCGACGGGATGTATCGTGCCGACGGCCAAGTGCGAGTGGGGAGGGCAAGGCGGTGGATGGATTGAAGAACGGGGAGCATGGGAAGGGGGGAGACGGATGTCCGCTGTGCCAGAGAGAGAAAGACATACAGGTGCGGATGTTGGTGCTGCGACAGACAGGGGAAAAAGACAATCCTTGGAGAGTATATGTGTGTGTGTATCTTGGTATGTATGCCTTGACAGGCCCGTTTCGATGCCCTCTACGATGATTACAAATACCGGTGAGTGAGCCAATGATTGCTAGTCTCCCGGTCCATTTGTGGTGTCTCTCTCCTGTGACGTTTGGTGCATATCATCAATGGCTGCAGTCAGTTGCGTCGTCAGCGCATAGCGGAGCAGCAGGAGATCCTCGACAGGGAGAATGCACAGCCGAGAGTGCTGCCAGACAAGTAGATGTATAAGTATACACACATACATTCACGTGGCCGCGGCCGACGATGTCTCACTCTCTCTGCCGCTCCCTAACCGTGTCTGCAGGTCGTTGTCTCGCACTGATTTCGAGCGTCGTTACCGTGAGTCGCTGGAGATGCAGGCCGCCAAGGAGATCGAGCGCAGAGCCCAAAAGGAGGAACTGGACCAAATGTGAGAGAAGGAAGAAGGCTGTGACGGCCAGCCAGGCTTTTCACACGTGTGTCGTACGTGTCTTGGTGTAGGCGTGCCCAGCAGGAGTTGGAGGGCTGCACTTTCCAGCCCAGGTCAGCCAGCATAGCCACCTGCGCGCACAAAGCAGACAACCAACAGGATGGGCAGCACACACAAGTTGGGTGGGGTCCACGCAGGCTGATCGCAAAGTCACCTGCGCAGAAGGCCGAGGAAGTTGTCGAGTAAAGACAAGCCGTCTGTCCGAACGACGCATTTCTCCATTGTATTGTCTTATCAGGGTCCGTTTGCGTCGGCTGGCCAGTAAGCTCAATGGCACTCAGCGCGGCCACCTGGAGCAGATGAGGCGACTCGACAAGGAGGAGCAAGACGTGGACCAACAGATCAAGGTCACATAGAGAACAAGCACCACACACACACATCCACCGACTGCCTGTGTGCCATGGTGCATCCTGCAGGAGGAGTGTGAGCGTGAGATGCAGCGCAGCCTGGAGGCCAACCGGCAGTACGTCAACCGATTCCTCGACAGGTAGGCAGCCTTGGCCGATACATGCAGCGACAGCCACACGATGCACGACTGCGTGTGTTGGTCAGTGACGAGGGCAAGCGGGTGCTGGAGGAGCGGACCGAGGTGGGTCGGAGGGGTGGGTGGGTACCACTCTTCCGGTTGGAAAGTATATCTATATGTGTGTGTGAACGTGTCCCTTTCCCCCACCAGGCCTACATTGAGTTCAACCCAGGCATCGACGAGGAGCGGGCCAGGAAGGTGCGCCAGTGGGGGCACCTCAGGGCAGGAAACACATCCTCTGTGTCTCATCCATCCACTGTTCCTTGTGCTGACTGGTGTAATGTGTGGGTCAGGAGGCCGAGAAGGACATTCGCGATTACAACGACATGCAGCTGCGGGACAAGGTGCTCACATTCTACAAGGAGAAAAGACATCTACAGAAACAACGCAGACAGGTACGGTACGGGCAGGCCGTTCATGACAGCTGGAGACACTCGCGACGTCGGCCACGTGCTGTGCTGTGCTGTGCTGTGTGTGTGTGGTCAGATTCGTCGCCTGCAGGTCTTGTATGAGCTGAGCAGGTAAGCAGCTCCACGCGAGTATTTATGTATGTCTCATTGCCTGGATGGATGGATGTGTCTCCCTCCTGTGTGTGGGTGCTGTGGATGCGTCAGGTTGGAGCAGCAGTACCGTGACATCGTCGGCAACCGGTCCGTCCGCAAGGCACATGTCGTCAGGGACTTCGACCCAAACCTGGTTGCTAAACTCAAATCGCAGCCGTGGTATGCACACACACACACACACACACACAGCGCAACAAAGCCATCATTTCGCCTCCCTCTCTGTGTCTGTGTGTGCTACGTCTGTGCAGGTATGCGTTGGCCAAGCACAGCCTGGCCCAGATCCGCGCTCAGGCCATGGCAGCGTCCACCAGCAGTCAGCATGAGCCGGCCAACGACCCCTCCATCAACGACGGCAGGCCCAGACACACAGACGGGGGTGACCACGAGACACATGTTGAGTCGGGTTCGCCCCTGTCTCAGCTGATGGCCATGGGTCTTAGCGAGGAGGAGGCACGGATGGCCCTCACACACGGGGAGTGAGAGTGAGAAAGGAACTGAGTGTGTGGACTCGTTCGTTTATTCGTGGGTGGTTTTGGCATATCAAGAAATCATTGCGATGGATCGTGATTAAAGACAAGGATGCCTAAATGTCCACACACCAACACGCACATCCACGGCATGTCTCGCCCGGCTGACAGGCAGGCAAGCCATCACTCAAGCGGCAGAGACAGATAGCTAAACAGGGTCCCCGCAGACAAGTCAGGCAGACAGGCAAGAGAGAGGCTGACCCCTCACACCCTCCCACCACACATCCATGCCGGCTGACAGGCAGGTATGTGTGTTTGTATGTGTGGGTGTGGATGTGGGTGTAGATTAGTTGTGTCGTCGAATGGATCGTTGCTGGATGAGTGCCGTGGCAGCGAGGTCCTCCCCGTTGAGGATCTTCAAAGCCTCCTGCAGACTCTCGATCTCCTCCTTGCGCCTCGCCACGCGATCCTCATAGCTCACACTGACAAAGAGAGGACACACACAGAATCTTTGCTGGCCATCGTGGCCTGCCTCTGTGTCTCGTCCTGACCTGGTATCGACACATGCAGGTTTCAGCTTCTCGTAGTACTGCAGCGATGCGTCAAGCTCCTTCTGGGCACCCTCTTTGTCCTGCACTTCTCTGTCTTGTCGCCAGTCAGGGTGTTCTTCTGCAAACGTACACGGGGGACACACGGTCAGGGGTGAGTGATGGGTGTTCCTTGTGTTGTGTGTGGCGGTGACCTTGTCGGCTTTGTATTCGATGTCCTTCTCCATCTGGGCCTTGTTCACCTGAGACTCAGTCATCATCTACACAGACACAGACACACACACAGAGGACATCCAAAGGGCCGGTAGGTATCGCTGTGTATTCGTCTCATGCACGCCTTCACCGTGTTGTAGTCCTTCTTGGCCTGTGCCTCGTCCGCGCTTGTTTCCGTCTCCAGCCGTGCAAAGTCGGATTGTATGACCTCGAGCATGCCTACGACACCCTTCTTGACGCCCTGCATACCGCCGTACGGCTTGTCCTGCACACACACACACACACACACAGAGAGAGAGAGAGAGATGCACACATAGAGCAGATGGCCTGTAATGTGCTGACTGACCCATGTGACGGGCGAGTCCTCCGTGGGTGTCTGTGTCTGGTTTGTCTGGATGAGGGCGGGGACCTCGCCAGACTTTGAGTAAAACTCTTTGAGAATGGTCAAAGCCTGGGCAACTGCTGCCTGGGCCTCCTTCGCATCTGGTGGACGACACACACAGAGACAGCGTGTGGGGCGTGTGGTGTGTAAGCTGCCCCCCCTACGTTGTTTTCATACCAGCAATGGTCTGTTCGTTTTGCGCCTTCTCCTTCTGTCTGTTGTCGGTTGCCTTGGCCATGGCCTGCTCGAGCTCAGACAGCTCCTTGTTGGTGTCGGACACCTCCTGGGCCAGCTTGTTGATGTTGGCAGTGAGCTCGTCAACCTCAGCTGTCAACGAATCTACCTCAGCCCTACACACACACCAACAGACAGACAGACAGACAGACAGAGACACAGGGGAATGTCTTTGAGGACAGGCAGAGGGCGTTGTCCCTTTGTCGGCTTACGCCTTGGTCTTTCGTGTTTGTTCGTTTGTCTTGAGTTCGGTCTCGCACCAGCCCTTGTGCTCAGCCTCGCTGTTGGCCTCCTCCATCAAACGCACAACCAAATCCTGGATCTGAACACACCCAAACACACGCCACAAGGACAGGGATGAGAGCCGTCTCCTCGACGCCGTCCAGAGAACCATGCATCCACACTTACCATTTTCTTGACTTGTGCGAATGGATCTTCCGAGACCTTGGTGGCGAGTGAGATGAGGACCTGGCTGTGTAGCCGCTCCCCGCGGTCTTTGAGGAAGGACGCCACCGTCCGCTGGATCGACCGCTGGCTCACAGACCTCACCTGCACACATGAAATGCATCGGGGGGGGGGGGGGGG